TAAAACTAATGTACTTTTATATACTGTCATTATTTTAAACATTTGCTAAGTACTACCCTGATTTTTTCAAGCTTTTTAAACTTATTTTGCTTTTTGCAAGCTACGATACCATAAATCTTGAAATATATAAGATACTTATACCAACTTAATGTAATGTATCATCATACCAAGGTTTACAGGTTTAAAGGTTTTTCCCCAATTCAATGCAGAATACATTTGTCATGTGGAGTACTAAAAAATGTACAAAACTGCTAAATCACTATACTATATGCCTGAAACCAATTGAACACTGTATGTTAATTATATTCAAATTAAAATTTAAAAGTATATATATGGGTACAGAAACACCTTAAGTAATAAAATAATTATATAAACAAAAAATCTGATCAACATTATGAAAAAACAAAACCTGATGAAAAACAAAGAATGCCCCCAATTAGCACTAGCTTGACCACAGTGCCAGTTTTTCATTTTTTTCAAAAGATTTTGAGAGAGTACCTTTGTACCTTTGTATTTCATATAATTAGCAAAGAATACATGTAAATTCAAAGTCTTTGGTTTTCTCTTTAAATTTTTTTTTAATGTTTATTTATTTTTGAGAGGGAGAGAGAGAGAGAGAGAGAGAGAGAGAGACAGACAGAGACAGAGTGTGAGCAGGGAAGGGGAGAAAGAGAGGGAGACACAGAATCCAAAGCAGGCTCCAGTCTGAGCTGTAAGCACAGAGCCCCACACGGGGCTCGAATTCACAAACCGTGAGATCATGACCTGAGCCGAAGTCAGATGTTCAACCGACTGAGCCACCCAGGTACCCCCAAAGTCTTTAGGTTTTGCCTGAAATGTTCATGAACGAAAATTCATACATATTATATATATGAATATATTAAAAATATATATGAATATACTTATTTTACTTGTTTAACAACACAGAGGTCCAAAATTTCAGAAATATCTATGGTTTTAATACTACACAAATTCAAATGTCCCAAAGCTAAATACTGATTTCATAAAATACAGAATACATAAAAAGAAAAGAATAAAAATAATTAGAAAATATCAGTTATTACAACTTTAAACTATATATATCCATAGGTTCATTCAGAATATTTTCTATAGATTCGCAGCATTTCCAGATAATCTGTGTTCTGGTAGAATCAGCTTACAAAAACAGACAAGTGTTGGTAATGATCTGTTATAACTACGGTCTCATGTTTTATATCACATTTGCATATTTAGCTTTAATACGGAAACCCAAATTCTTGCACGGATTCACAGGTCATACTTGAAATTTAAAATTCTGCATTCTGTCGTAACTTCACTTATCATCCCAGGAGAAAAACAAACTACATGCTTTAGTTTTTTTTCTAGGATCTGAGTTCCTACTGCTTTCAGGGCTTACTCTGGTATTGAAGCAATTTAACAGGTTGAGTCTCAAAAAAAAAAAAAAAAAGGCGGGGGGATTCTTGGGATCCTCAGAGGAGAAACCTATGAAGACACACGGAATGAATGAAGCATACATGCACAACAGAGAAATTACTAAGGTTTAGGTGGGCCCTCATTTTCCCACTTTTCCTCAGAAACTACAATTTCCCCAATATAGTCTAGAACTAGCTGTACCTCTTCTGAGAGGGGAGGGTTGCTCTTTAGCTCTTGAGCACCTAGAAAGGTTAAATGTACCTAGAGCACCTTAAATGTACCTAGAAAGGTTTGCTCTCCATCCTCTCCTGGGTTATCTGTGAAGGTGGCAATCAAGGATTTTGCCTTTAACTTAAGTGAGCCTCCTCTTCCCACCTATGTCATCTGGCCAAGATAGGACTGTTCAGGTTTTCTCTTACAGAGATTCCAGGGAAAACTAATTTAGTTATTTGGGTATGACAGTTCCATCTCCTAACATACTTCCGAGCTCCAGTATCATCATGGTATAATATAAACAGATCCAGGACTTCTTTCCTAACTCTTGGGCTGAGTCATACCCAGAAAAAAAAGTGAATCTGGGTGAGAGACAAAAACAAGGCCCACCTGAAACAAACAAACAAACAAACAAGAAGACTGACTTCCAGAAATGAGGAAGGGTAACACACACAAATAGATTATGCTCTCCATCTGAAAAGACAGAAAGATTTCCTGAACTCTGCAGTGTCCAGGACAGAGCTCTGCCAGTCCCTCAGCGGCACAGGACAGAGAAGCATCCAACAGGAAGTTGTCAAGGGATCTTAACAGCATGTGTGTCCTCTGTGTGCATCCAGTACCCACCTCCCCTGACCTCAGGCTCTGGAAACACTCCAGACTATGACAAACTGCTGGGGAAGTAAGAGCAAAGACCACAGATGAAATTTTCTGAACTAGGACTTGCTATTTACTAACAACTCTGCCTAGAGAAAGAAATGAGAGGAATATTTACCAGCCTGAAGTCAGGTGACTGATTCAACTCTGTTCATAATATATCAGTTTTCTTTATTCATGAGTATTTTCCAAGATCCCAGCTACCTCCAACCCTATCAGAAATTATTTTAAGATCTGGGAGAAATATTCTTAAATAAACTTACATACATTGTAACAGCAATTCAAGAAGTCTGAAAATGGGAGAGCAATAGGAAATTAGGTACACTATCTATATGAAAAGAGATGTTAAGTATATATTTAGAAATCAAGAGGAATCAGAGTAAACAAGGAAAAGCATGCTCATGAAAGCACATTCACCTACTGGAAAAGGGAGTTACGGCATTCCTTTATTTCTTACTGTCAGAAAGTGACAACTTCTTAGAGTAAGATGGGGAAAGAGGGCTGAATTCCTTCACCCCATTATGAGAAAAATGTATGTATCAGTACACAATGATACACATGGCAAGAGTCAACTTGTTCCAATATTTCAAACTCCCTTTCCTCTTTTTGCTATAATACAACTAGCATACCCATTTCTTCCTCTGCTTCCTTGATTGCACATTACAGAAAGTCAATTCTTGTTATATTCTACAAAGTTACCACAAAAACTGACTTAGTGAACATAAACCATTGCTCCAAGAGAAAAAAAAGGGTCATGTTCCCACAAGCCTCTTGTCACGTTTTTGTCAACTCAATAAAATATATTGCTGATTCATTAACAGTAAACTCATGGCCAAAACACCATAATTCATGCCTGAACAAAGTTTATTTAATGTAGGTATTTTCCCCTTAAGGAACATCACAGCATTCTTGTGCTTGGGAAAACCAGCCAGCACTTCATTGATTGACTGACTTGTTTTTAAATATCTATTTAGTTTTGAGAGGGGTGAGGGAGGGAGGGAGGGAGGGAGAGGGAAAGAGAGAGGGAGAGAGGGAGAGAGCACGAGCATACAAGATGGGGAGGGGCAGAGAGAGAGGGAGACAAGAGGATCTGAAACAGGCTCCTGCTAACTGCAGAGAGCCTGACATGGGGCTCGACCTCGTGAACTGCGAGATCATGACCTGAGCAAAAGTCAGACGCTTAACCGACTGAGCCACCCAGGCGCCCCTAGACAGCACTTCAGTATGACAACACTTGGAGGCCATTTTAAATAGCGAAATCATCAACAAAAAGCACAAAAATGAGAAAAAACATGGCACTAAATAGACCAAGTAAAGGACACTTGGTTATATAGTATGAAAGCTGAAACAAGAAGGCACAGTGCTGCCTTATTTGACCTAGCTGGGAACATGTACCTCGAATGACTCAATTTTTTTGCCACTCTGTGGCATCAAAAGCATTGTACTGATTTGAGAGTCACAAATAAATTTTAGCGAGTAGGCAAATTGGCAAATACAAAATCTGTGAATAATGAGGACTGACTGTACATATGTTTCAATTCCTTCACTGATTGGAAAGACAGTTCCATCAATAGGGCAGTCACAACCCAGGACTGGGAAGTCAAGAAAAGAAAACCAGATCCTAAATGCTACCTCTAAATTCTCAATTAGGTGGCAACCAAAATGGCTAAGACGTAATAGACATTATTTAAGAAAGAATTGATTTTGCTTTAGTTTTTACTTTATTGTAAAACATGAGCTGGGATGGCAGGGCATCTTGGATTGTATTCGCATTCCAACTTAATGAAAACTTACAATTTATCACCTTCTTAAGTAACTGTCAAATTATTCCACAATTAGTTTTATCATCTTTTCAAATCAAACAACTGGATCTACCATTTATATTACCTGTTAATTTCACCTATATGTCTACCATAATAAACCCATTAGAGTACTTAATCTTCCAAATAAAAAAGTTTATAAAATCACATCCACAATAGGTAGCCACCATTCCAGTTTTCTTCCTTTGACTAAATAAACTTAATGCTTAAGATTTTCCACTCTGGGCTCTAGCAATACTTAGTGCTGTACTCTATTCCAGATGTCTTAAATTATAGAAAAAGGAATGTACCCGTTTCGTATTCTTTCAGAGCAGGTCTTAAGGCAAGATCACCTACCATATTAGGTACTTTCTTGTATGGACTACTCTACTGCATGTATCTTAAGTCCATTTTTTAAAAGTCACACATTAACTCATCATTGTACGTTCCATGAGAATAAGAGTTCTCAACCAGGAAATCACCAGAGAGCCTTGGTGTAGGGCAGAGGGGTTGTCAATGAAGGCCCCCGTATTGTGAGTTCCAGGATTTCTCTGAAAAGAAAACCATAGCTTTAGCAGATGTGCAAACGGGTCTATGATCCTCCACACCACCAAAATTTTAAGAATCACCTCACTGGATTCTCTTACTTTAAAAAACTTTAATGTAGGAGATTGGTCAGTGTAATTTAACATCATTCAGTATCTAATCCTGTTTTCCAAAGTTTTGGCACCTCTAGCAAGTTGTAATTTTATAAGCAGAACCAGACACTTTGATTCTACTTTTGTATTATATCTTAACCCACAGTACTTCACACAATTCATGATTTTAAATAAAGACAAATTAAATCACATCTGAATTTCTAAACTTAAATGTAGTGTGATAGTTATACTTCCAATTGTTTCAAAATTACTGGAAATCCTATCATGTTCTTGAAATGAACTTGGCGTAAAAGGCAGCAAAGAGGTCCTTATAAGGAGTGTCTGAATCTGACTTGGTCAATGGTATTCGGCAAAGTCGGCGAAACCTAGGAGAACGCAGCAGCAAGTTCTGTGAAAGGCCCATGAAGCTGGAGCACAACCAGTAGAGGACAATGGACTGTAAAGAGAAGAAAGGACGTGAATGTTAGTGCTTCTCCATTCTCCAAGGACACTGACGTCCAGAGACAGACAGGCAATAAAAAAGGAAAATTACAATCTCTGTAAATAGCAGTGCACCAGACTGAGCAAGACCTGTAGCGGCTATTAGATACCTGTCATGAATCTAGTAAGTAAGAAAGGAGGCTGAAAGGACCAAAAAGTGAAAAGAAAGCAAAAGGAGAGGTATTCATGATAGAAAGTGGATGACAGAGAGCATCTCCCAGGCAGAGACTCAAGACAGATGTCACCTCCCTTCTTTGGCAATACAGCACACTTCTCCCCGAACAAGAGTCCTGACAAGCTGCTGTACTGGAGGCAGGGTACTGTGGGGCACAGCCATTCAGGCTCCCTGGATCCCATTTCCCTCCACACAGTGATCTATCGTCTATAGTGTCCCCAGTAATCAGCTTCTTAGTCAGGAATGTAGTATCTTAGCCTTTGTCAGAGACAGTCTCTCTTCCACTTTCTCTTGTACTTCCATCCAGGGTGACTTATTTAGGTCAAGGACTAAGTTCTGTAGCCTCTCAAAATATTCCCATACATACATCCCTGTTCCAAACTTTCCTTTGGCATCAGAATGTGATCAGGCTCCAGGGGCATGACCCCATGGTGGTTTAGTCCAGGTCCCGGAGTAGAACTGCCTGAATCTGAATTCCATTTATTTGACTTTGGGGAAGTTATTTTCCTTCTGTTTCAGTTTCCTCATCTGTAAAATGGGAACTGAACTATACCTACTTCAGAAGGTTGCTGGGGGGAAAAAATGTGATAACTTACAGAGACTGCTAAGCACAGTAGGTGACCTACCTGCCTTTGTTCCAAAGTAAATTCTTAGGGGCAGAACGTAACACATCCTCAAAGGAGATTAGCATACTAGTTATGAGCAGGAGCCAAACTGCTTGGATGTGCCTTAGATACTTAAGAGATGTTAAGTATCACTTAATAAATGAGTGACCTTGGGTGAGTTACTTACCCTCTGTGTGCCCATTTCCTCATCACTAAAGTGGAGATTATAATGGCACCCACTTCGGTGCACACTGGATGAATTATATGAGCTAAAATATGTAAGCCATTTAAAACAGTGCCTGGCACAAGGTCAATATCAAATAAATAGTGGCCATCATCATCTGAACTTACCCAGGACACAAAAACTACCCTGAAATTGCCTACTAACAGTAATTCTTCCTTAGTAATGAACTTCTCTTTTTTAGCTGGGTATACTGCTATCTTAAAAAAAAAAAAAAAAAAAAAAAAGACTACTTGCCAACCTCTTCTGCAATTAGGTTATGACCCACATAAGTCAGACGTAAGCACAAGTGTTTGGTGTGACTTCTGGCAAGGCTCCTTAAAGAGGATAACTGCACTTGAAACACCCTTTTACCAATCCTGCAAGATAAGCTCCAGCAGCCATCATGACCATCCTGTGGCCTTACAGATAGAAATTACAGGCTGTGGATGATGGAACACATCATCCATGAGAAGAAGGCGGATGGGTTTCTCCTATCTTCACGCAGCTGCTATACCAGCTCTACCCCAAACTGCCTAACTCTGAATTTCCTATATTGGAGAGAATAAACTTTTGGGTACTTAAGACATTGCTCTGTAGATCTCTGTCACCCATTTCAAACCCAATCCCTCACGGAAAACTCACTGCTCCTATCTTATTTGATCAGGGAGTTTCCTTAGTTATAACTGGTATTATTTTCCCCCAGAAATGCGATGACTCTGTACTATTCTATTTTCACAGGGTATTTTACAACATTACTATTACATGAAAAGTACCATAATAAGCACTTGTTGCTATTTCATTACTTCTCACAGACATTACGATGTCTATTTTAGAAATGTGGAGACTTACTTATTTTACACAGGATTAGTGACAGTATTATGGCCAAGAGACAGCTTTAAAAATACATTTTTGATGCTAAAAACATACCGGTTCAGATTCTTAGGATAATGAAGTACTTTCATATATGCAGATATAACTTTACATACCACCAACAAATGACTTCTACTTCATGGTCTATGTGTTGGCCCTCAGCAAAGACAGAGATAATGCCAAATACAGCTTTTGCCCTCTTTGCACTAAAGTTTCATTGGGAAATAAACAAAAGCTGAAAATAGGAAATAACTGCAAACGTTAACTATTTTTTTCCATTTCTATCAGAGTGTAATGACATGTAAATGGGGACAGATGTACCTATCTCACTGAATTTTTATGAGGTTAAGCGATATTATATATGAGCCATTATGGACTCAGCATGAAATTTTGTTTCTTTTTTAAGAGCTAAATTCCTTGGCCCAGTCTATGTAGATAGAAGGAATTCAATATTTCAACTAATTAAACAGAGCAAATACTATGTTCACAGCGCTGTGTAAGACTGAAAAAAAAAAAAAAAAAAGAAACAGAGTTGACAGTTAACTCACTTTCACACAGAGGAAGATTAACCAACCCAAGAAATATTCGAGTGTCACTTGGTGATAGATTAATTACTACAGAAACCTGGAAACCAGTAAGGGACTTAGTCAAATGAAGCTCAATAGAAGAGGCTGAATCCTGGGGCACCTGGATGGCTCAATCAGTTAAGTGTCAGACTTCGGCTCAGGTCATGATCTCATGGTTCATGAGTCCGAGCCCTATGTGGAGCTCTCTGCTGTCGGAGCAGAGCCCATTTCAGATCTCTCTTCCTCTCCTCAAAAATAAGTAAACATTAAAAAAAAGAGGCAGAATCCTAGCCAGTGTAAGCTATGCACAGAGAGGATTTAGCACACTACACACAATGCCGGTGCTTACTCACTGAAGGTACTGTCGCAGCAACTGGAATCATCAACACTGATACTGCACGAACGAAGTATGTAATATACGTCTGAAAACGAGACATTCCAGTTTTTTGCAGAGCAAAAATCTGAGAGAGTAGAATATAAACACACACAATGAGTATTAAGCATATTAAATTAGACAAGCTTTAAAATACAACCTGATTTTTGACTGACCTCCACCTACATATATTTTAATAGAAGCAAAAAAGTTAAAAATAAAACACTGATAAATGCATATGGTTGATCATCTGGTTTTTTTTTAAAGATTGTAAGACTGAAAGTCCTTTCAAGATAGCTACTATGTATGAATCACTACCCTTGTTTTGGCACCTACATACAGTGCCTGGCATAAAGAAGGAACTTAATAGGTACTTCCAAGGTTTGTGATCTGACTCCATGGAATAAGGGGAGAACCAGGCTAGGAAAAGCAGTTATGATTATGAATTACTTAAAAGGCAGCATCATAGTGTAATAATTGCGAACACAGAATCTACATCCAAACTGTCTAGATTCATGTGAACAGCCCTGCATTTAGTGGTTATGTGACTTTGTACAAGTTACTTAACCTTTCTGTACCTCACTTTCTCTAACTTAAAACAGGGGTAATATTAGTAGCTACATCACAGGATTATTCTAAGAATTAAATAAGTTAATTCATGTAAATTGCTTACAACAGTGCCTGCCACATGGTGTATATTAAGTAAGAATAAATTTTCTTGGGGTGTCTGGGTGTCTCAGTTGGTTGAGCATCCGACTCATGACTTCAGCTCAGGTCATGGTCCCAGGGTCATGAGATCATTGCATTGGGCTCCGCATGGAGCGTTGAGCCTGCGTAAGACTCTCTTTTCTCCCTCTGTCCCTCTCCCCGGTTCGCACTCTCCCTCCCTCTCTCTAAAATTAAAAAAATAAAAAATAAGTTTTTTTAAACTTATATATACTGGGTCATTAGTCACTAAAAGGAAAGACTAAGGATTGACATTAATTCACTGTGACCTTGTGTTTACCACTTCCTTCGTTCTAACAAATATTCACTAAGTACCAAGCACATTCATAAGATTGTGCTAGGTGATCTTAGGAAAACACTTAGACTACACATGGAGTCTTTTCTCAAGAAACTTTAACCCAAGACATTAGAGTACCATCATTTTAGGATGGTATTTTAGATTCCCCAAACAGAGACCAGTGACAGGTCTGTGAGATCTCAACTGAAGTTCTAAAGATCATTTCTAAGGTTTCTTCCAGTTCAAAGAGACTATGTTCTACTCAAAGTCTGGGAACAGCTCCTCATACAACTAAAAGCTTGCTTTCCCTAAACTGCTGAGTAACACAGTATGGGATAAAGGTAAGACATAGTTGACAATTCATATTTTGTATATCTGTATTTTTCCACTCCATCATATAAAGTTAAGTTCTAACTTTTCTAGGGTCATACAGCTAAAAAATGACAATCAGATATGGTGTTTCCTGCTTACAAATTTACATTTTAAATATACACACAAATTGCCAACCTACTGGAAGAATAAAACCAGATTGATAAGCATCTTAATTACTCTCTTTACCAAAAACAAATCACAAAATTGTATGTATTAGATTCAGATCATTGTAAAGGTGAAAGAGACTTTGGAAGTGTTCTAATTCAGCTCCTCCATTCTAATTATAAGCATGTGGCCCCCAGAAAGATTAAGGAACTGGCTTAAAACAGACAGAGTTTGGCAATGTCTGATCTATGACCAGAAACCAACGAATCTCAATTCTAGCTCAGAGCTATCACCAACAATTCAAATGGTGCAACAGCAACAAAAATCTCAATGATTCTAATGGCAAACAAATCTCATTTAAAACCACTGACCTCCACTATTAGTAAATTGATGACACCAACAGAGATAGGCAGAATCCAAGTGGAATCTAGTGCAGTGAGGTCACGAAACCACAGGATCCCATCATTAGCCAACTGTTCCTGAACAGAAAAACCTGCTAAAACAGTTTCATAAATAAAACATAGCAGGAAGAAATACACAAGACATAAGTAGTCTAATTCAAATAAGGGGTCTTTCACACTGAAGACATGTATTGCTTTCATTCGTTTTCATTCCACAACATAAACTAGTCCTTCCTGTGCTGAGAAAGAGGCAAGAAGCTCTCTGTAGCAGTTGTAGGAGCATAGAGTAGCAGCACTCTTTCAGACTTGTGTTTGTATAATTATTTGTCCATAGGCTACTTTCTTTCTGTTCAGATTACTTTCTGGTTAGAAATGCCTTTAAATGAAAGTAAAAAATACATGCTTTCGTTTATACTGTTTCTTAATTAATGTGTACATTCATAACTGTGAAAACTTTTCTGAGCTCTTAATTTTATATACAGAAGAAATTCTTGGCCAGAAAACTTAATCATGGAATTATAACACTAAATTTATAATGACTTCCATGAAGAAGTACAGTTGACCCTTAAACAACTCAGGGCTTAGGGGTGCTGACCCTCCGAGCAGCTGAAAATCTGTGTATAACTTTTGGCTCTCCAAGAACTTAACTACTGAAAGCCTATTGTTGTCTGGAAGCCTTACCTATAACCTAAGTATCATATACTGAATTCTTACAATAAAGCTAGAGAAAAGAAAACGTTATTAAGAAAATCATAATGAGGGGCGCCTGGGTGGCGCAGTCGGTTAAGCGTCCGACTTCAGCCAGGTCACGATCTCGCAGTCCATGGGTTCGAGCCCCGCGTCAGGCTCTGGGCTGATGGCTCGGAGCCTGGAGCCTGTTTCCGATTCTGTGTCTCCCTCTCCCTCTGCCCCTCCCCCGTTCATGCTCTGTCTCTCTCTGTCCCAAAAATAAAATAAACGTTGAAAAAAAAAAAATTTAAAAAAAAAAGAAAATCATAATGAAAAGAAAATACATCTATAGTGCCGTACTGTAAAAAACCCACCTATAAGTGGATCTGCCCAGTTCAAACCTGTGTTGTTCAAGGGTCAATTCTATTACTATTGTCCTTTCTATATTCATTTGTTTTCTCAACATGGCTAATTAGCTAATACGTGATATTTTAAAACCTATACCCTTGTAAGAAAGATGGTGACAATATACTAATTATAAAAAGTATAGGGATTTTTCACATTTTGTTTTTGTTTTTTGAGTACAAAAACATTGTTAGAGAACTTATTTGGGGGAAAGAGACTTCTATAATAACTACCTTCTGAATGTGTTGCTCCTGTGCTAAAATTCCGGAGGGCAATGGACATGAAGATCCACATTGGAAACTGAATCCAGACCAACACAGTGGCTTTGAAAGGGTGGCAGTTGTCCCGAACATACAGCTCTGAAACAAGCCTCCGCATATTCTTTAGATAAGTGAGTCTAGTTTGAAGGAAGAGGGAAAAAAAGGGAAAGGAGAAAATGTCATTTGACTAACAGTGCTTCATACCCATGGTACAAACACACCCATGTCGTGGTTATTAGCTAAAGTTTTGTGCAGGATTTTTAGTTCTCATAGGCTATATTAAGGGGTTGCCTAACAAAAGGCAAATAAAGCCTTTTACTGAAAATTCTCTAGAAATGTACACGAATTATATAACAATCTGATAAATCTGACATTGTCGGATTATAAGCTTTGTCTCTGATGGTCTTTGGCCAATTAGGTTTTAACAAGTGAAATTTCACTACTGACATGGTCTGACCAGTCTGTACCAGAAATTCTAAAGGGGAAAGCACATTTAACTAAAACCCCTCCATTCCAGGCAAGCTCAATTACTTGATCTCTGAATATACCTTTTATAGCAATGTGGTTCTGTAATATGTATGTTCTTGACCTATTAAAATGGTCTCCATTCTTCAATCCTTTTTCTTTTTAATTTTTTATTAACGTTTATTTATTATTGAGAGACAGAGAGACAGAGCATGAACATGGGACGGGCAGAGAGAGGAGACACAGAATCCAAGGCAGGCTCCAGGTTCTGAGCTGTCAGCACACAGCCTGACGCAGGGCTCAAATTCACAAACTGTGAGATCATGACCCGAGCCGAAGTCGGACGCTTAACTGACTGAGCCACCCAGGTGCCCCTCAATTCTTTCATGAAGATTTTCTTCATGTTTCTCTGTTAATCCTATTAGTTATTCCTGCTCTTGCCTTAAGTCCCACTTTCTAGATCAAAGTCTCCTTGAAGGTCAACTGTTGGGTCTTACTCATCTCTAATTCTCTTGTAGCAGGTTTTTGTACAAGGTAGACATTTAATACGCTTGAAGGTAACACAATTATAGTGTAGTATTACATTAAGACAGTACACAGATATCCCAAGCTTTGTAATTTAGACTCTGCCTACTGTTTGAACTTTATTTTTTGTTACTCTTGTACGCACACCTATATATTCTGGTGCCTAAATGACATAGGTTATCCAATAAATCAGACTTCTACATCAGCATGCTTTTGGAAGTCATTAAATCATCTACGTGGACAGTCCGCTTACCTGGCTATCCACCTGACAAACTCACTTTTACCCTTCAAGACTCAGTTCCATTGAAAATGCAGGAAACCCTCAGATGTGTCTTTCTAGAAAGTCATCTATCTGTGTGAGGATGTATCTGGAAAATCATTCTGCCAGTACTGCATAAGCAAGGTATCAGGCTTGTCTAGGCTGCATTTATAACTCAGATGAGCAGCTATGAATCTGTTATTTTGGCCTAGATTTGTTGTCCTTAGATTTCTCTGATCAATAAAACTTAAACACTGTTAAGTTTATCAAGTAAAGATATTAAGCTACCACAATGTTTTTTTTTTTTAAATGTCAGGTCTTTCTGTGGCACCTGGGTGGCTCAGTCGGTTGAACATCTGGCTCTTGATTTCAATTCAAGTCATGACCTCAGGGTTGCAGGATCCAGTCCCGAGTCAGACTCTGCACTGCGTGTGGAGCCTGCTTGAGACTCTCTCTCTCCCTCTGCCCCTCTCCCCTGCTTGCTCTCTCTCTCTCTGAAATAAAAATAAATGGCAGGTCTTTCCAAATTTTCAACACTAAGTGAAGAGGGAAGCAATTTCATGTTGAAAATAGTAGGCAAATGTCTACCCATATAGGTAAAAATATATGAACAACCATATATACATCATATACTCATAATAAAAACCCTTATTTTTCTCATTGCTGTGAACTGGTGAACACTTAGTCTAGTAAGGACCAGAATTTGACTAGTAACTTAGGCTGACTGAAGCAGGACTTAGAAGTTCCCAGTGGCTGAGTGCAGGCATAGAATTGCAGCCCATTCAAGCACTTTCTAAGGGCTAAGAGCCCAGGTAGACAACTACACAGGGTAACCACAGTGGACAGACAACACCTTGGCTATCTAATTTCTTCTACCGTGGCATTCACACATTCACATTTTCTACCTCCCCCTTCTTGTGGGTTATTGTCTGCTGTACCTTTCTTTCCAAAACAGTCAAGTGTATAAATATTCTGTATCATTTGCTGACTAAAATTCCAACAGACTGGCATGGTACCTTCATCCTGTGAAGCCTTCCCTGACTTTCCATGATGACCGAACTTGTACATAACCTTTTTTATAATTGTTATGTCATTATTTGATTATAGGTCTTTTTCAGGAGGCTGGAGTCCCTCAAGAAGGAACTTGCTCTTTGTTTTTCTACTTCTTGCTTTCAGTCCACTATATGAAACTGTCATACCACACAAACGCATTAAAATATTAAAGAGTGAAAGAACTACTTTGCTGCTACAGCTACAGAATACTCAAACCTCTAATTAACATAATCACAGACACAATTTGGGTATGTATGTAAGTGTACGTATATATATACATACATATGTAGGTCTATATGCACAGAATTAGCTCACCTTGCAGCTCTTTTGGACCATTTCAACTGATTTGCACGAATTGCAATTTCTTGGTTAAGATGCCTTGCAATGTTTTTTATTTCTGGCTGCAAATTTTCCACCTAGCTAAAGAAAACGTAGAATTTGTTATGAGCACATAAAGGATCTTATCCATAATCACTCATAATATTCCTCTAACTCACTCAGAAATGTGGTTTACTGATCATGTCAAGAAAATTTAAGTCTAAGCAGAAGATGTTAATTTGCTTAAGAAATCTTCAGTTACAACCAAATTTCAAATTCCAGCTCATACTCTTAGCCATGTGATTTCAGGCAAGTTACTTAAGCTGTAAAACCCTGTTTCCTCGTAATATAAAATGTTTAACAACACCTACCTCACAGAATTATTATAAGGATTAAATAAGAACTGAATCCTAGAATGTTTCACCCCTGGATCTTCCAATAATGTAAACTGAGAAAACAGAAGTCTATTAATTAAGAGTCTTTAATACGCTCTGTGACAGCGACAGAGCCACAAAAAGTTTGTATTTATTTCTGTTCTGTGTTAATTCTGCACAGCACGTCACTGTCTTAATGGTGATAATTTCCTTTGTTTCCGGGTCTCCGCTTCCTCAATAATTATTTGAAAACACGTTAAGACATTATTTTTGAAGTTTCCCATTTGAATAATATTTTGCTTTCAAAGCACTTTAACCTACAGTATTTGATTTGATATAACACTGTGAAGTAGGCCAGGAAGGCATTACTACTTGATTCCACAGAAAAAATAACGAAACACTGAAGGTCAAGTGGCTGCGACTAACCCGAGTCGTAGGCAGCAGGGCCTGAATAAGGAACCAAGTTTGCAAATCGCTAGTTTAGTAGTTGTTTTCAATAAGGTGAACTGGAATACTCGGGGACAAAAGATGCTGCAGGCATACAGGCTACTACAACCTTTAAGACGGAAATTTTACAGGTTTCTCCACACAACTTCTTCGGCTAATTCTTTTACTTCTCTCATTCTCTAGCAGCAAGCAGCAGCAACCACTTGGGCTTGGAGCACAAACCCAGCAGGGTAAACGACATGACAAGTACACATATCACCAGACATCTCTCAATTCCATATCCAGTGCTAGTTAAATTTCTTAGCAAAGAAGGCGGTCACGATGATTTACATTAAGCACTCCGGCGGCAGCCAGGGATTTTAAGCCCCCGGTAGACGTCTACCACCCTTCACCGCCGAAGCTGATGCGCAGGGTGCAGGTGGCCCTCACCTTGGCCAGGATGTAGTGCTGATAGGCGGCCAGGGGTAGAGTGACGGCGCCGCGCAGAGCCACGGTGGTGAGGCCGATGCAGGCCCACCAAGGCAGGCCCGTGGCGGTGTGCACGCCGAGTAGCACCTCCTCCGCGCCCTGCACCGGCGCCGACGTGGCCAGGGCCTCGTACCAGCTGCCAGGGCCGCCGGAGCCCACTGCAGAGACTGACGCCACCGCCCAAGCGGGCAGAGCAGAGTGCTTAATGCCGCCCGTCGAGGTTGGCGCAAGAGGCGGGACCCGGACTCCTAACTGCAGTGCAGGCAGCGGCCGCAGCCACCTACCGCCAAGCCGGCACAGCATGTGGGCGCCGGGGCTGAGCTAAAACACAGGCATCACAGGTTAGAATCGGGCTACGATCCGCGGCACCTAGACCGCCAAGCGCACGCGCCGGAAACCCAAAGCGAAAAACGGGCGCTCGCTCCACTACTATTGACCTTCCCGTTCAAGCCAGTGACGTCTTGCGTCGCACTGGCGATGACGCAGGAGGTAGGAAAGTCCCGCCTTTCCCACGCGGCACTGGGCAGGCCTACTGCGCAGACACAAAACTTTCCCGCGGCTGGCCTGGAGCGCCTCGGACGCTGGACCGGAATTGTAGAGCCGGGGGCGGGGCCTACTGCCGGGGGCGGGGCCTGCTGCCCTGGGCGGGACCGGGCTGTCTATAGGAGCCCTCGCCTTTTAAGTCGGTGTGAGGCGTGAGCCTTTCCATTCCTTTACACTTTAGTAGGTTTTTTTTGTTTGTTTGTTTTTTGTTTTTTTAATGTTTATTCACTTTTTTGAGAGACAGAGTGCGAGCAGGGCAGGGGCAGAGAGAGAGAGGGGTACACAGAATCCGAAGCAGGCTCCAGGCTCTGAGCTGTCAGCACAGAGCCCGATGGGAGGCTTGAACTCACAAACAGGGAGATCACGACCTGAGCCCCGTTGGACGCTTAACGGACTGAGCCACCCAGGCGCCCCTATTCTTTTTCACTTTCAAACTGATTGTGTGATTTTAGTGGAAAGACTGGGTGGGTGGTTTTTGTGACCATAGAGGGTAGTCCCCCACCTCTTTACGTGCAACCTGATTGCTTCTGCTACTTACTGAGATAGGTTATACTGCCGAAATGCCTGCTTGGAGAAAGGCATGTGTTTCTGGCTGACCCTGAGTTTTAATGAGCATCCATTACGTACTAGGCATAGTTCTATCTACAGTATAAAGATTTAACTGGTTTACCTGTTCCAATTAACATTTTCAAGCCCAACTGCAAACTGAGTGTCATTTTATCTTCCATTATAAAGAGCAAAACTTTATTAAGATAGTCTCATTACTTAAGAGGGGTTAATCACTGGCAGCACGGTGTATTCTTTACTAGTTTACATGTATCCTATAGAAACGTTCAAGAGCCTCAACAGTAACATTTTGTCTTCGGGTTAAAAGGAATAGGCTAAATCTACACGGAGTAGTTTTTAGTTTTGTGTTCCTGACAACAGTACACACAAACTGGAATGACGTGAAGGAGTTTACTCACATAGGGGTTACTCCTAGTCCTAGTCCCCAAATTGTGTTGTGCAGAGTAAAATGTTGGTTAAAACAAGCCTCCAACAAATGTTGGGGTAATGTCAAACTGCAGTTACAAATTTTGCACCTACATGAATTTTGAAATGTTTCAACACACAAATCCCAACTTATGCTATATGTACATGTTCCTTTTTAAAATTTTTTAAAACTTAAGTTTATTTATTTATTTAGACAGAGAGAGGGAGTGCGAATGGGGCAGAGAGAAGGAGAGAGAGAATCCCAAGCAGGCTCCACACTGTCAGCACAGAGCCGATGCGGGGCTCAAACTCACAAACTGGGAGATCATGACCTGAGCCAAAGTTGGATGCTTAACTGACTGAGCCACCCAGGCGCCCCTGAGATGTTCCTTTTTAAAAGGAAAAATAAAAACAAAAACAAAAACAAAAAAAAACGAAGAAGGTACCACTCTACTTAAGGTAAATAAGAAACAACTGGTTGCTACTCACTACTGATTTTAAGTGGAAACGAATTTTAAATGGAAATATCTGCACCTAAAGATTGTGGGAATAAAGAAGCAAATTCTATGATGCTGCGTTCCTCTCCTTCCAGAGAACTGGTGTCATTGGAAATTGGTCCTTCCACAGTAGCACTTAAGCTAGGTACTCTGACCTTTTAATATGCAGGAGACACGGAGTTGATGAGGTCCACCTTTTCGGATACATATTGGTATCACATATTCTCACTTTAAAGTTTTGCTATTGTAAGCTTCAATATTGTGATCTAAATAAAATTTATGGATATTTTTCTACTAATTTCACATATACTAACATTCATTTATTAGAGGTGATCGAAACTGATCTACTTGGTAAAGCATGTTGGGGCGGGGGAAGTATCTGTCAATTATAAACCCCAATACAGGAGTTCCTGCTGGCTCAGTCCCTGGAGTGTGCAACTCTTGATTTCCGGGTTGTAAATTCAAGCCCCACGTCGGATGTAGAGATTACGTAAAAACTAAAATCTTAAAAAAAAAAATTAAAAAGCCCAATACAAAAGTAGAGTGTTAGCGCTGATGTGTATGTATGTACTGGTTATCCAACATTGTGGTAACTTGTATCTTTTGAGTTGCAGAATACAGTATGAAATGACCATACAAACACCTAGCAAACCAAATGAAATCTTGTCAACTCTAATACTGCAAATGAACTTGCACAATATACCAGAACACTTAAAGTTCAACATTTATAATTAGCTTATAATTAGCCTATAATATTCTTGTCTTCACTATGTCACTATTTTTTTTAACTTTAAGCTCCTTAAAAACAGACTTTCATTTTCTTTCTGCAGTTTCTGAAATTCTTACCCATCAGTGCTGAACACAGGAGTGGGGTCAAAATTTGAATGTAGGCTATTTACACACATAAACTGTTTATTTGTACTTTTAATTTCTCATTTTCCAAATATGCCTTTTGAAGTGTTTGACAAAAGAACCTTTAAAAGGCATTTTCATAAGAAATTGTTAAAGTGACCTCTTGGAATCAGATTTAGGTTGAATTTCTTTTTTTCCTCTACTTACTTAATGCATTGCTTTTCAAAACCAAAGCTACATAATGTAAAATTAGCTTCTCTCTCTCTGTCAAAAAACATCTTTGGGGCACCTGGGTGGCTCAATCGGTTAAGCGTCCAACTTCGGCTTAAGTCATGATCTCACAACTTGTGAGTTCAAGCCCTGCGTCAGGCTCTGGGCTGACAACTCAAAGCCTGGAGCCTGCTTTGGATTCTGTGTCTCCCTCTCTCTCTGCCCCTCCCCCGTTCGTGCTCACCCTCTCTCTCTCAAAAATAAACAAACATTAAAAAAAATTTTTAAAGAAAAACATCCTCTCATCTTTCTTATCATGGTTCTTAAGTACCGAGTATGCAAAATTGGCTTTCAGCTTTCAAAAGTGTGAATGCATTTAAAGGTAGAAGTCTAATATGAAACCTCTTATAACACATCTATTAGTCATGTATTCTGTCACATTACAGAACTCTTATTTATGTCAAGCCATAGTTGCACACTCTTTACTCACCTAAAATACAAGTGACAGTAGTTTTGCAATCAAGGTATATAAGTAACACAGTTAAGTCATATTAAAGCACTAATGAAGCTCTCATCCTAAATTCATCCCCTGGAAATAACACCAGTTAGTTGAGTGTTGGGACTTTCGTGAAGCAAGCATTGATCAGTGGGATGTATACAGGTTTCCCTGCTATCTCCTACCACATCTTTCATAGGCCAAAATGGTGGACAGCAGAGTGGCCTCTGCTTTCTGAGGGTGTGCGTTATACTACTTGGCATTGCAAAAGTTCTGTACTGGCAGATCTGCAGGAATGAGAGTGTTTCTGAAAAACTCAATGTGAAAAATAGATGAAATAAAACAGAGGCTCTGAAGAAGCTTTGTGATTTTGAATTTCCCTCTTTAGTCTATCACTTTGTATTGTTTGAAAGATGAAGTGAATAATATAGTGTGCAAAATAATTTTTATCAAATGTGTATTTAGGTCATTTGAGTCAAAAGAAAGATGGTGTAATATTTTCATGAAAAACAAGACAGAATCAGTCAGTGAACTACTGACCCCACCGCCATTTTTTTCCTGAGAAGAAAAATCACAATAAGTATAGTAATTTAACAAAAAGTTAATTTTCAACTACTAACAAAATGACTTAGTTTTACAACAACAGTAAACAGAAGGGGAAAATATCTTTCACATGAATAGTAAAATCAGTTTTTCTGAATATGTTGATATATGTTGAGAACTTATGAAAAGGGGATTCTGTTGGCACTGGTAAACAAAATCAGCTCTAAAATGGAATGCTTGGTATAACAAGATTACACAATTGAGGGGCGCCTGGGTGGCGCAGTCGGTTAAGCGTCCGACTTCAGCCAGGTCACGATCTCGCGGTCCGTGAGTTCGAGCCCCGCGTCAGGCTCTGGGCTGATGGCTCAGAGCCTGGTGCCTGTTTCCGATTCTGTGTCTCCCTCTCTCTCTGCCCCTCCCCCGTTCATGCTCTGTCTCTCTCTGTCCCAAAAATAAATAAACGTTGAAAAAAAAAAATTAAAAAAAAAAAAAAGATTACACAATTGAGATATTAATTATTTCAGTATTTGAAGTGTGATCTAACCCAAATATTATTTCCAAGAGTTAAGTCACTTCTTAAAAGAATGAAAGAAATACATTATGTAGTCTGCAATTACACAAACCATATACTTTCAAAAAGGGGGAAAAAAAGACCTGCATGGTCTCAAAGGATTATGGGTTCTTTTTTTATTGTTCAAATAAAAATGCAGTGCATTACATCTGAAATATAAAAAATGTATTTGAAAAATGTTCCTAGTACAGACTTCTAAAATCATGGTATTGTACTCAACAAGACTGATCTCTAAAACTAAATATGGAGCATACAATCTATATCCCCCTGTCCCATAGGTTTAAAGTCAAGAAAATATAGGTTCTTTCTTAGTAAGACACCCCCCATCTTAACAAATTTTGGTGAATGAACACAACTCATGTGTTGTAATAATTATTGGGTGGTATCTATTACCTAGCAGGATTATTTTAGTTATAAAATAATCCTAGTTAACACAGGGGAAAAAAAATAAGCAAAAAATTATAGGATAGTGGCAAAAGTCATAGATAAAATACTGTTAAATAGCATTACACACCTTTCTTAGTAAAGTGCTGTAGTTTTATTTCATAGCTATGTTTGCAGGATATCATTTATCTTTTCCCTTAAATTTGGCCATATCAATCATAAATTTATATATTTTAAGACCACTTCCTAAAAGATATAAATGTGTTGTTTACAAACTTCTAGACATTTTTGAGAAATCTTTTTACTCCTTATTCAAGCTACCAGAATAAAGAAATCATTTCATTTACTTTACAGCCAAGGAACCATATTACTATTGTCAACTCTGAGTCATTTATCTAAATTTTAGTTTTACCACTGTGGAATCTGCTTAATTAAAAAAAAAAAAAAAGAAATTTAGTTGCTTCATTACTTCCACCACTTGTTTAGCTTACTTTTCTTTTATTATATATTTTCAACTATGGATTGTTTATTTTTCCATATAGAACAGAGTCCAGGACACATATTCTTTTCTGAATAAGTATGTTTGATGTTGTTTTAAGTGAAGATGGATAGAATAATCCTCATTGAGAAGGTTTAGGTGTGGCTCTACATCTATCATATAAACAGGTAAAATGAAGACGTTATTTTTTGGCATTACTGATAATCCATGCGCAATCTGGCATAACCATACTTCTTAGTGACAAATGCAAAATTACCCTTATTACTTGCCCCAAGTTAGCTGTTGATCCTTTGACTAGGCAGCTTAAATGTGAGTATAAAGGAGCCTTTAAAATTGGGGGGGCGGGGGGGGAAAGATACTTTCCACTACATTACTGAAAATTGGAATTTTTATGTTGACTCTTGATGACTTTGAAAGCCATCATATGTTAAAGAATCATATTTTCAAATAAAATGAAGTGAATTGAATAATAAACAGTATATTAAGAGCCTATATATGCTGACTGGGAACCAGTGGTGGCTTTTTAAATTCTCAGAACAACTAAACATTTTATGGTTAAACAACCTATAATGATGAAGGTGCTCCATTTCTCTGTAGCAGCCATTACAATAAAAATCTTTACAAAATTACTTCACGATCAGCAAGAGAATTTTACTGGTAATAGCGGTAAAAGTGAAGAGAGAAGAGTGAAGAGAAGTGTGTATTAGTTTTAAAAGTGTGAGAAGGTAATAAAAAAACATGAAAAAGTGATAGATTTCTTCTATATGTGCCCTGCTGCAAACAAACTCTAAAGAGAGCAAGATGGGTATTTTAAAAGCCAGCATCGGGAAACATCCACTGATAATGCCCATTGTTTTACTTTATACTTAAATTACACAAGCAGAAAAGTTATGCTTATTAATAGTTTAATGTATGAAGGAAACATCCAGATTTCTGAATATGAAGGTACATATCTCACATTAATTTAAGTCTACATAAAGTAGAGCCTCTATACTGACATATTGAAATTTACTTTCTGCTTAGCCTTTTCTGTTATGTAAACAATTGTACATTTATTTGCCATTCTAAAACTTCAGGATCAAGTTTACATAATTTTGCTAAATTTCCGTGTTTGCTCAGAAGCAGTTTACAGTACTAAAACCAACCAGCCAAAGAACAGCTTCAACAGAAAGTTATGTCCAAAGGGGAAGAGGGAAAGAAAAAAAGAAAAATGATAAGAAAAATGCTAACTAAGGTAAAACGGATGGTGGTGGGGAATGGGCAGTCACAAATGTTCACAGAAAATAGGTCAGTTAGTAACTTCTTCTGCAAAAAGCCTACACACTTCAGTCAAGCACATCAGTAGAATGATTTGGGAGCATGAATTTTTTTCGGCCACTTGTGATTTCCTCTGAATGAAAAGGAATCTGCAGGCTAACAAGCCGATCCTCATCAGCCGAGCTGGTTCATATGCACACTGTTCATGTGAGGTGCCCAGGGTCCAGTCCACACCTATGAAAATCGAGCATACATTTTATTAAGTGTTACATCTGTAACACATATTTGATAAAAACAAAAATTAAGTGCTCTTAATATCTATAAGGTAAAATAGCTAAATCTCACTCAATCTGCAACACGCTTAGAAACAATGAAGAAAAGCAATGATAAGCCCTTAATTCTCAAACAGGATCTGATTTATCATTTTTTAAAAACCATTACCTGAATACATATAGACTGATGATTAAAGAAGGAAAATGAGACAAAGATATTATATATACACCAAAATAAACTAAAATACACTAATAATTTCTGTAAGTTTTCAGAGTTCTACATTGTTTTGCAATTTAAAATACTTAAAAGAAGTAACCTCTAGATGGCCCTTTTCACACCATTAGTAAATTTTGATGTATAAAATTTTAACACTTTGCAACTTAAAATCTTTTGCCTACCATCTGCTACCCAATGAAATATATTATGCCTTTGGTACCATTTTCCACATCTCTCTACTGTATTTCAGCTCTATTAAATTTCCCTCAATTTCCTCAACTTCCCATATTCACCATACTCCCTCACTACCATGATTTACCTGTATCCTGTTTGTCTTGGCATCTCATAAACACTAACTAAATGTTCACTGAATGATCAGCCTTACCGTTTGAGGGCCATTATTTTCTGTGGAGCTCGAAACCATCTTTATCAGGGAGTTCCAAGAGGGGTCTGCAGCATGAGGGCCATTAAATATGGGTCCTCCAGCACCATCAGGAATAGGTGCTACTGGAGGAATCATTGCGTTCCCATACACAGAAAAAGGCATACCCTTAAAAAAGAAGCAAGCAAAAATTATGCACATTAGTCATATCTTCAAGTCACTGCTTACTTTTCCCAATATAACCAATGGCATTAAAATTGCTATTTGAAACTTCATCTTATTTTGAAAATACACATTATCTAGGTAATCTAAAAATTATTTTCCATCATATGATTTCTTCTAGCATTAGATTATATATAAGCCTAATACAAAATGTTTTGTCAAAGAACATTTCTCTAAACAACTGGGACAATATCAGGATATAAATATTTATATTTTAGCCAGATTTTGACATATAATTACAGTCTGAAGCCCACATATCATCTCATAAATACTTACCCACTTGGAAGTAAAATAAGGCTAATAATAAGAAAAACATTTAGAAATATAAAAATGCTTATTTAAGTCACCATTACCCCAACTTTAGGAAAGTCCATGTATCCTGCAGGAACATGCTGATGGAATGTACCAGAAGGAGTTACAATTCCTGTATTCTCTCGCTCCATTGCTTGATGCTGTGAAAACACTCCTGGATCGGACATTGGCCTATGAATCATGGGATTTCCCATCCCAGGGTTACACCAGTCTACTTTATCTGAGGGAAAACAAAGAGGCAGAAAAAAATAGTTGGTGATATTTAACATCAAAAGACAGCAAAATAAAGTCTTTTCTGTATTTTTTTTCTAGAATTTTCCACATTGAATTGTGCTTCCCTTTAGAATAATGACCTACTTTTATATATTTACTGCAGTATTTCCGTGTTGGTAGGTAGTGATATAATAGGCTAATAAAATAACCTAAACACTGGTTATTACAAAAGAAAAACTGCTAAGGTAAGATAAGAGCTGGAGTCCCAGGAAAATACTAGTTTCTCCTTAATACGGTGAAATGGAGAAAACAATATGCTTGTATTAGACAATTTCCAGAATGCAATGATAAATTCAATGGGAGATCACATGGGAATAAAAAAATGGCGTGAACTCTTAAAACTGATTAGTCAAAACGAAGAGATATGAACACAGATCTTTTAAGAATGACTGTAAAAGTTACATATTACTTATGATATTTTAGTTAGATGCATAAACTTAATTTCTAGTAGGCAGGATAGCAAGTCTTACCTTGATTGCCACCAATCCCTTCAAAAGACCAGATTCCACTATGCCCTACTGATGTAGATAAATTACTCCCAATAACAGATGGAGCTGAAGTTCCAGTTTGCCTGATACGTGCAGAACGTTCAGTCCCAATAGGGACTGGAACTTTTCTGTCCTGAGAGACGTTGCTGGGCTTCTCTGACCCTAAAGGTACTGATGATGGGGCAGGCGAAGGTGCACGAACTCCAGAGGATACTGACTGTGCAGGAGAATCTAGAGAAAAGATATTTTGAAATAGTATACATGTCATCTATAGAGTATACATGTAATTTTGTAAAATCAAATCTTAAATCCTGAAGACACCATAAGTATGTGTTCTCTGAGGAAAATGAAGCATGAAAATAATGCTAGAAAATTATGTATACTGAAATTTGGTTAAGGTCCAGGACTTTGCAATAATTTTTAAAAATTTGATTCACAATTTTTCCATTTAGTTACATGACAGAATGTAAAGATGTCCAACTACACATGTGATATAACCCATTAAACTAATTAATATTTAAATAAATTAATGTTTGACACTGAGTAAAATAAACACCAGAGCAATAAGAAGACAATGTTTAAAGTAAAAAAGGTAAACACCACCAAAATAGAGGTGGGGAAAATCATGCCTGTATTGGCAATTTCCAAACTGTACTCCTTGAGAACACGTGTCCATTGGTATACAATGACGAAAACAAAGGGATTCAGGTATCCAACAAATTTGGAAAATCTAACATAAAAAAATTAGTTTCTTTCAATCAGGACTTCAAGAAACCTTAACATGCTAATAAAATTCCAACAGAAAGCTATGCCTCATTGCCCAACTTTGTTTTATTGTATCACATGGTATTCCACAGAGCAAGCTTTCTGAAATGACAATTTAAGCTTTATGTATCAAAACAAGGTGAGTTCTTAATATAGTCAATGTGGGAGTATTCTTTAGTGATTCAATCTCTTCATGTACTACAGAGAAGAAAAAAATAAGAAAACCAAAACTTTATTTCTTGTGAAAAGTTTAAGTATCAAGCACACTTAAATTTAAAGAGGGTATAAATGGTGGAGCTTGAAGCTTAAAAGTTCAGTTACCTGCCTGCCTATCTACAATTTACTCATAACTGCCTGACTGTATGCCCTAGAGATAGTCATTTAATACTATTTTTCCATTTAGCCATCTTTTTTACATTTACGTTTTCCGTGTGTGTGTGTGTGTGTGTCTATATTCCTCCAAAAGGATTCGGGTAGCTAATAAATTTGCAAAATCAATCAATCCATCTATCTATCTATCTACATACAAATACATATACCCAAAAGCATATTGCTTCTACTTCCCAAGCTATGAGAATCTGGAGGAAAAAGAAAATTCAGTGATATTATTAGCCTAAATATGCTTAAAAATGATTTGCTATACATATTTTAGAATCATATAGACTTGGAAAGTATTATACTGTGGAGATCAATGTTGTCTTACTAGTGCTTACAGAGGTCCACTTAGGCTAAATCAATAGTACCACCTCTCTCAATGAGTTGTGGTGATATTATTAACCAAAAAAAAAACAAATGTGAAAGTACCTTATAAATTGTAATTTATTATAAAGATATAGATAATGGGAAACAAAAACATGAAACTTCTGAGCTTATCTGTAAAAGTAAATCAAGAAAACTTTTACCATTTAATAAAAAATTAAAATATATCTCCTGTGGGGGCAGCACCTGGGTGGCTCAGTCAGTTGAGCATCCGACTTTGAGTCAGGTAATGATCTCCCGGCTTGTTAGTTCAAGCCCCACATCGGGGCTCTCTGCTGACAGCGCGGACCTGCTTCAGATCCTCTGTCCCTCTCTCTTTCTGCCCCCTCCCTGCTCACGCTCTCTCTCTCAAAAGTAAATAAAACATTACAAATATATATATGTGTGTATATATATATATATATATATATATATTTCCTGTGGTCATGGATCCATTAGCATTTCTTGACAGCATTACTTTTAACAAATCATAACAAAATAGAAAAGCCAACTAAGTGTCTTTGAAGCAACTAAAAATATTTTAAAATTCACCTTAAAATTACACTGGTATAAGAGGGAATTCTAAGAAGATGGAGGTTCAGCAAGCAGCAAGTTTTTTTTTTTTAATTTTTTTTTTTTTTCAACGTTTATTTATTTTTGGGACAGAGAGAAGAGAGGCAGAGCATGTAGCGGGGGAGGAGGCAGAGAGAGGGGAGGACGCAGAAGAAGGCCAGGCTCAGGCTGAAACCAGGCTCCAACCTCAGCCCAGAGCACAACCGGGGCTCAGCTCCTGGACCCACATGAGATGGAAACATGTTGAGCCTGGCAAAGTGGACGGCAGCTTAACCGACTGCGCCACCCAGGCGCCCCAAGCAGCAAGTTTTGATTCTTCACAAATCCTTCCATAAAACAATCTACCAAGTAAACAAAGCCAAAAACCCATGGATAACATCTATAACAAACCTAACAAAGTATCCAAATGAATTGAATAATACAAGTGAATGGGACAAATCACCAACAGCTACAAGACCTCTGTGTTGTCAGCATCTGTGTGAAAAGAAGCAATTCTCCAGACTTAAGAACAGAATAGGAGAACAACAAAACAAAGGTAGTCAGAGGAAAAGCAGAAAAGGCCAATCAGAACAGCAGGTGAAAGTGGGATACTTCTGCCTATGCTGGGTAACTACAAGGGATTTACAATAAAGTCTGAAGAAGTCAGAGCAATAGTGGCCCTATGAACTCTCAAAAATATCTGCTGAAATCTCATTCCAGAAAAAAGCGCCACACTGATAGGAAACTTCTGGGAACAGATTCCAAATTGAGCAGGAAAGAGACAACAGAGCAAATCAAACACAAGATCATTTAAGAGAAGGCAGAGGTGAGGGTGGTGGGAGGGTAAGGATAACAAAGCCAGGAAATATAATGAAGTACAAGGCCATATTTGTGCATACTTACCTAAAAGACAAAATTCTAGAGCTTTTAAGCTAGAAAAGATATCTGATCCACTTATCCTTTCTAAATATTCAGGAAAACTCATTTCATTTAAAAATGTGATGAGTTCGAGCCCCGCGTCGGGCTCTGGGCTGATGGCTCAGAGCCTGGAGCCTGTTTCCGATTCTGTGTCTCCCTCTCTCTCTGCCCCTCCCCCGTTCATGCTCTGTCTCTCTCTGTCCCAAAAATAAATAAAAAACGTTGAAAAAAAAAATTTAAAAAAAAGAAAAAAAATGTGAAACAGAATATAACTGAAGCCAAATTCCATACAAAGCTATTTATGTGAACTAACAGAGATATGAACCCATAACATCTTACAGACAATAAAAACATGCCAGAAAAAAAGCTCTAATATTCCAAAGGTGTATCAGAAAGAAAGCTGTATTCTAAAATTCTAATGTGGGCTAAGAGAAATGAAAGAAAAACATATGAAAAACAGCATAATTCAGTAAAGCTGGAAACAATGACAAAACTCGGGAAAGTATTGGAAATAAGAGAATATTCCAGAAGGTGTAAACACAAGGGATAAAGTTTTAGGTTTTGTTTTTTAAACTATGTACCAAAAGGGCATAATTACATACCTGAGAAAAATCAACCCATTATAACTAAGGTCAAGACAAAGTCAAAGGTAGTAGGCAGGCAAGAAGGATGGATGGATGGAATGATGGACAAATGAGTTCTACCTCTCCTAGAATCACCCCCAGAAGCCTGCCCAATCCTCAGTGTTAGATCTAGTCTCTCTTTCCTTTCCTGAATCCTTCCGAAAACAAAAGCAAAACAAAGCAAAATAACAGCAACCCTCCATGTTCTGTTTAAATGGACAGAATAATGAGGCCTGCCTGCTGACTTGCCCCATTTAAGAAATCTGTCCTCTCCACAGATTCTGCCAATCTCATAGCCATATTTTTATCAGATGACTGTTTACTGCTTCCTCCCTGCAGGTTTACTGGACTAATCTGAGTGAAGAATGATCCATTTCAGGCCTGGAGAACCTTCTTTAGAAAAAGAATATAAAATTACAAACACAAAACTAGGTATACGGCTTTGGCAGGGTCCCTTGGCAAATAAGGTACCCTGAAGCTTAAACTTCATTGGCTTCGTGCTAAATCCATTTCGGTTTTGAAATGACAACAGGTCCTGAAAGAGCAGAGTGACTTACACATTTAAAAAAAAAAAAAAAAAATGTTCCTTCAAGAAAATTACTCTGTTTCTTCATGCTTCTGTTCAGTGTTTACTGAACTACCATTGATAATGAGATTAATGTGGCTGGTCATGACTAGCTTACAAAAATGTTTTTAAAGGAGAAAGAAAACAGAATAGAAAATACCAGCATGCGACATACATTGTAAGGATAACAACTGTTTTGTAAATATATTATTTCAACTACACACACACACGTATATTGTGTCACAACGTAAAATTAGTTTCTTCCTTTCAAAATTATGTTTTACTGCTTTTTGATCTGACAACAGTTTTATAAGACTGAATGTCAACACGGCCCATTGACTAAATTTGCCAAGGACTGAAATGCACAGACTAGAGCCAGTGATCAGTACCAATGCATGAGCTGACTGAGTGTTGGTAAAACAGATCTTAGTAGTTTGAGTGGAATAAGGGATCAGGTGATCTCTACCCAGCCTTTATATGCAGAAGGTTCTTGGGTATCACCAATCTATTATTCTGGGGCCTCAAGAAAGGGTTCTTTGCTTTCTAACAAAAAATTTACAGGAAGGGTCTTGTATCCGCCACATCCCAACTTAACTTGCAAAGTCCTAATATCTGGTGTCCTAAAGGAGAGGGAGTGAGAAGATGTATAGACTATATGGAGAAATATGACAGAACCTGTTCAAGTACATAAAACCAGACAAATACATTATGAAAAATAAGTCACATGCTTCTGTGGTTAGTTCTACAACAGCATCCAGAACGGCAACTTTTAAAAGTATGTAGATAAATACTGAAAACAAAATCTTGAAAGACTAGAAGAAATGAAAATACAAAATTACATTCCTATGAACAGATTAACAAACTAAATGGTCATTAAAAAATAACAGTATTAAGATCTATACTAAGTGAAGAAAGTGCAGACTGGTTAAAAATTCAGTATTAGAGGTAAAAGTGAGAGTCTTGCCTGAATCACTTTAATGGTTGCAAAACAATGACTCAAATCGTAACTCCCACATGTATGAGTTGTCCTTATACTGTAAGGAAGAGAGTTCCCATGTAAAATTTTAATTTCTTAAAAAAAAAAAACTAATTAAATTAAATTCTAAAATCTTATTCATAATCATTATGAACTTATGGATTCTTATTTTATCCCATGAGCTGCCATTATTCATTATGGTAGTCAAATTTTCCTGAATTTGGCCAGTGGGAGTCCCTTTAGTAAAGCTGCTTCCTGTGTGTTGCCATGTCCCCATCATTTTAAATAATTACTAACACGAGAAGACTTTGCAGGCTCCCCTTATGCTTTCCCTCCCCCAACTCTTGAATCAGCTAAGAAAGCCTAGTTTCTGGGGCACCTGGGTGTTTCAGTCCTCTGAGCATCCGACTCTTGATTTCGACTCAGGCATTATCCCAGGGTCATGGGATCAAGCCCCATGTCGGGCTCTGCACTGAGCATGGAGTCTACTCAAGATTCTCTCTCTCTCCCTTCCTCTGCCCCCCTCCCCCAATTGTGCTCATGCGCTCCCTCTCTTAAAAAAAAAAAAAAAAAAAGCATAGTTTCTTTCAGTGGACAAAAATATTTAACAGATAGATAGAAACACTGGATGTGCTCACTGCTATTAGAGATTAATTGTTTCTAGGCCCTTTCAGTAGATAGCGCTAGAGGGAAAATTGCAATTTTATATGATTCACTCCAGTATATAGATAATTGAAAAATCATGAGTTCACAGTGATCCTCTAATTTTAATCCAATTCCATAGGGTTCTTCCTTGCCTTACCCCATTTTACACCTCTCTTTTCTCACAGTGAGGACCATGCATCCCAGCATCATCAATATACTTATTAACCCAATCCTATAATAAACCCCATAATTTTAGAACTGCTTATCCGTAACATTATAAAAATCACATGTCCTAAGCAGAATTGAAGATTTGTCTGAAATCTCGTCGTCTTTAGAGTGAAGGGTATATAAAGTACTATGTTCACAAGTTTTTTGAATTGTTCTATTTTTTTTTTTTAATTTTTTATGCTCATTTATTTTTGAGAGAGAGACAGAACATGACCAGGGAAGGGGCAGAGAAAGAAGAAGACAGAAAATCTCAAGCAGTCTCTGTGCTGACAGCGCAGAGCCCAACGCAGGCCTTGATCCCATGAACTGTGAATCGCGAATCATGACTTGAGCTGAAATCAAGAGCTGGACACCCACTGAGTGAGTCACCTAGGCTCCTCTGGATTATTTTTTTAGTAGGTTTATGTTAATAATTTGCAATATGGATAAGTTTGTTTCTATTTATGCTCAATTTCAGCATTTTTCCTTCAACAAAGTTGGGTGTGGTGTTTTTGGAATTTATAAACATTAACATCATTTCAAAAGTAAAATTTTTACATTACTCAGACAAGTGCTACTTCTTCCCCCATTCCCTTATAATCTGCCTGAAAGGATGATGAGGAATAAGAACACAGTCTCACAGAAACTCTACACAGATTACGTACTAATTACAAAGGGAAAAATTATAATTTGACAGTACAGAAACCTGGTATTCATGATCTTAACAAAATGATTCAAAGTTAACAGTGCCAATAATGGCACAAACTTAACATTTTATACTTTCTAATGCAATATACTGAGATAAGGACACAACATTGACTACACACTAATATTCCTGTCAAAAACACTTAGCCTAAATTTAATCATGAAGAAATATCAGAAAAACAAATGAAGGGGAATTTTATCATCAACTGACCTGTACTCTTCAAAATGTCTTTCTTTGGAAGACAAAGAAAGACTGAGGGAACAGTTCCAGAATATTTCACACTAAAAAGACATGGAATTCAATGTAATCTGTGATCTTGATTTGAATCTTGGATGAGAGGAAATAATATTTATTATTATTTAAACTATATAATTTAAACTATATAATTATTATTATTTATAATTACAATATTTATAATTACTAGGTGTTATTGGGACATCTAGTAAATGTAAATATGGACTATGTATTAGCTAATACTGTCCAACATAAAATTTGCTGAATTTGCTAATTGTACCATAGTTGTAGCAGAGAATTTTCTTATTTTTAAGAAATATAATCCTTTAGAGTATTCAGGGGAAAATAGCTTGATACCTGCAACTAACTCTAAAATGGTTCAGAAAAAAAATTCTATACACCTACACACCCAGAAAATGAAAGAATGTGGCAACATGTTAACAACTGGTGAATCTGAGAAAAATATATAAGGGTTCTTTGTACTATGCTTACAAGTTTAAAATGATTTTTTTAAGATAGACCTGAGAGACAAAGTCTAATGTAATACATTTACCCTGAGTGATTCATGGTTCGAAGGGAAAAAAAATGTATAAAAAATGTTTTAGGGCAATTGGGGATATCTGAATAGGAAGTATGTATGACGTGACATTACTAATATTAACGTTTATTTGATAATGGTATTGTGGCTGTGTAAGAAAATGTCCTTATTTTTAAGATGGACACTAAAGTTTTTAGGTCACAAGTGTCATATCCGAACCTTACTTTCAAATGTTTCAACAATAAAAAACTGGAGATTACATAAAATGGAGCAAAATGTTTAAAAAATTGGTTATTTAAAAAAAATTTTTTTTTCAACGTTTATTTATTTTTGGGACAGAGAAAGACAGAGCATGAACGGGGGAGGGGCAGAGAGAGAGGGAGACACAGAATCGGAAACAGGCTCCAGGTTCTGAGCCATCAGCCCAGAGCCTGACGCGGGGCTCGAACTCACGGACGGCGAGATCGTGACCTGGCTGAAGTCGGACGCTTAACCAACTGCGCCACCCAGGCGCCCCAAAAATTGGTAATTTTAAGGAGTTAACAATTGAAAGGAATATGGATGCTTCTTAAAGTATTCTTTCAATTTTTCTGTAAGTTTGAAAATTTCTGAAACTTTTAGAAAATTAAAAAAAAAATTTTTAATGTTTATTTCTGAGAGAGAGAGAGAGAGAGAGAGAGAGAGAGAGAGAGAGCAAGAGAGCGCATGAGCAGGGGAGGGGCAGAAAGAGAGGGAGACACAGAATCCGAAGCAGGATCCAGGATCGAGCTGTCAGCACAGAGCTCGATGCAGGGCTCGAACTCGTGAACTGTGAGATCATGACCTGAGCTGATGTTGGATGCCCAACCGACTAAGCCATTCAGGCACCCCTGAAACTATTTGAAACTTCAAAAAATGTTGGAATGCATCAATGAAAACAATTTTAATAGCTTCAGTGATATTCTGTATCAATCAGCAATGTATTAGAAAACTTAACCTATATTGGTTGCATTGTTACAAAAAGCACAATGTTTTTTCAACCGAAACAAAAATCAAATAAACATAAAACCAAACCAAAAAACAAAAAATAAAAAAAAAAACAATGAAAAGCCCACACAGTGAAACAAACTATAGGGCAAAACAACCTATCATACTTTCTGAATTTCATCACAAAATCCCTGAATTTATTTCCTAAATAAATATTAATAAGTATGTTTTTATTATGCATAAAAACAGCCTCTGCTACTGAGAACCCATTCTAAAGATTAGCTACCAAAAATTTCAGAGTAATACTTACGCACATGAGCAGGGAAGGGGCAGAAAGCGAGAGAGAAAGAGAGAAGATCCTAAATCCACCCCAAGCTAACAGTATAGAGCCCGACGTGAGGCTCGATGCCACAAACTGTGAGATCACGACCTGAGCAAAAATCAACTGATTGACCCACCCAGGCACCTACCCCTCAGGTTAACCCTTTCCAATGAGCAGTCATGTTGCAATTTTAACTCCTTTTCTCCCAATTCCTATTTTTTCATGAACATGAAAATCAAAAATTATCCATACACACACACACACACACACACACACACACACACACACACACGAATATGAATCACCTATATGTAGACATCTTAAGGAATATGTTTATTCCTATGATGGTTTAGTTTCAGCTCAACATAGAAGACACTGATCCAGATCTGTTATATATTTAGGTATAAAAATTAATGTTAAGAGGAGTATAAGAAAAAACTAAGCAGGTTAAATCATTCAAAAATTATAATGTATTTCAGACTTTTTAATCATTTGCTATTTATAAAAATGTTTGTTCCTCTGTTCCCATTTCATTAGTCTTGATATATTCAAGACTTGTTCACAGCTCGTAAGTCATCTTTTGTCTTTGCCCACTTAAAACCTGTTGCTCTTAAGGAAACATATACAAACTCTTATTATGGAATTATAATGTATAATACTCACCATTCGATGCTGATGAACATGGAGTCAACAAACTAAGTGGGGAAAAATGTTGTCTGTTAAAGTTAGCAGCTGCGGGTGCTCCTCCAAGGGGTGCCCCAGGTCCATACATTTGACCTCCTGAAAGGTTTGAGGCAAAGTTTCCCAAATGTGTAGAAGAAGGTGTTACAGAACCATATGGCGAGTCCATGTTGACAATACCTGAAAGACAGAAGATAATTTATAATAGTTACCTGTAGGAGAAGAAAATTAAAAAAAAAAAACTAAATTAAAATTAAGAGACCTCTAAAATACCCCCAAATATTTTAGATTTCTCCTTGCTATTTCTTCCAGTCCATTGACTCATTTTCCCTTCTATAAAGAGAACTATAAAAAAAGGAACAATTATCAAGGAAAATTATTTTTATATTTAATTTTAATATATGATACTTTAATTATAGAATACATGTAGATTTAATATCAACATTGGAATTTCAACTGGCCTAATGGCCAAGGAATTACATAAAAACTTATCTTTAAAAAACTCAGGAGGGAGAGAGGGATGACTAGGCAAAGCAGAGACTATTTCTATGACACTGAAAATATTGTGTATGATACTATACTGATGGATACATGTCATTAAACATTTGTTCAAACCCACAGAATGTAGAACACCAAAAGTGAACCGTAATGAAAACCAGACTTTGATAAGGATGTGTTGATAGAGGTTCATCAATTCTAACAAATGCACAACCCTGGTCAGGGATACTGATAATGGAAGAGGCTCTGCCTGCTGGGGGCAGGAGATATGTGGGAAATTCTGTACTTTCCTCTCAATTTTCTCTATGCTTTTCTGTGAACCTAAAAGTGCTATTTAAAAAATAAAGTCTAGGAGCTAAGGTTCCCAGCAGCTGGCTCTGGAGAGCATGGGGTCCCGCAGAGTAAAGATTTAAATCCCAAGGTCATGGCAAAACATCTGAAGTTCATTGCCAGGACTGTGATGGTACAGGAAGGAAATGTGGAAGGTACCCACAGGACCTTAAACAGAATCCTCACCATGGATGGGCTCATTGAGGACATTAAGCGATGGCGGCGGTACTATGAAAAGCCTTGTCGCCGATGACAGAGGGGAAGCTATGAAACCTGCCAGTGGATCTACAACATGAAAATGACTCGCAAGATCAACTTCTTGATGTGAAAGAACAGGTAGATCAGTGGCAGTGCTGTTGAGGCCTATCCACCTGTATCCTTCCTATCTCAAACCCCATTTTTTCTTACCTTTTTTATAATAAACTCAATCATGTATATGCAAAAAAAAAGTCTAAAAAAACTATAGGGGGAGAAAAACATAGCTATACTTCTACAATGGACAGATCTGATGATCAGCATCTTAACTAAGTGGCCATCCTTTCTATAGCTAATAGTGAAACAATCTTCAGTGAATGCCTCCTGATGTAATGCAGTGTGAGGTTCAAAACATCACCCGTTTGAAGTTCCTGCCAAAAATGTTTGACTTGAATGTAATCATGGACTAAGGAAACAGATGAATCTAATCTAAAATGTGGGACATTCTTCAGAACAACTGGGCTCTTCAAAGAATTCATGTCAAGAAAAACAAAGGAAGGTAGTGAGATTTTAGACTGGGGGAGACCACAGAAACATGGCAGCCAAAAGCAATGTGTGAACCTTGATTGAATCTTGGATGAAAATAAGAAAAGAAAAGAAAAGAAAAGAAAAGAAAAGAAAAGAAAAGAAAAGAAAAGAAAAGAAAAGAAAAGAAAAGAGAAAGAAAAAAAAAAAAAAAGAAAGAAAGAAAGAAAGAAAGAAAGAAAGAAAGAAAGAAAGACACAAGCACAATGGTTATATATGGGAGGATGGTACTGCATATTGGTTGGTATTGTCTAATTAATGTTAATTCTCTTGAGTGTGGTAATAGTGGTAGAACTGTGAAGGCAAACATGCCTGTTTTGCTGACCTGAATTGAGTAGTATTCCCAACAGACTCTCAAATTAAACTTCATGCTAACTTTGGCTCTAATCAACTATACACCCCCAAAAACCTCAGTTCCTTTATAGAGCTGGCCTTTTTTCCCTACCCTACCACAAAATAAGAATTTGTTTCCTTTTTCTCTAAATCTTAATTTTAGTCTTTCTCAACACACTACCTAGAATTCACCTTGTTTTGAAAAGTGAAGTATTTTCAATAAATTCCAACTATCATAAATATGAAATATAAAAACATTTCCAATGCATTGGCATATGATGATCTCTTAATTCTAACATTTCAGTACTCAAGAGAAATTGTATTATTTTGTAAGTACACATAAATACTTCCATCAGTCCCCAGCAAAGAAACATTTACTGACCATGTTCATTACATTGTATTCACATGTCACAGGAATAGGTAAAAATTACATCCAGTTCCCATTAAATTTAGAAATTTTTAGTCCCAGAATGTCATCACTTCAATAACACAGATCAGGTTAGCAGCATTTCTGCAAAAGGCTGAATAGTAAATATTTTCAGGCTATCATTAAAGCATGAAAGTAGCTATAACACAATATGTAAATGAATGGGCATGGCTGTGTTCCAATAAAACTTTACTTATGAACACTGAAATTCAAATTCCTATTTTTTTGTGTCACACAGTATTATTTAAAAAATATTTTTAATCATTAAAAAAATCTTACACTATTATTAAATCTCAATTTTAAAACGTAACAAATGTAAAAATAGGCAGCAGGCCATTTTTGGCCCATGGACAATAGTTTGTCTATCTCTGGTATGGCTTATCTTTAATTACTTGAGATGTTCACATTAAAATACATAGCTCTAGAGGCAACTTGGTATCCCAGATTGGACAATGCAACAGAAAAAGAACATTATTGGAAAAACCGGTGAAATCTGAATAAAGTCTGTAGTCAATTGTACTGTACCAATATTAACTTCTTAGTTTTAAAAAATAAAGGATTATATTAAATATTTATACTAGGGGAAGATGGGGTAATTACAGAAGAATTCTTCTATAAATTTAAAACATTTCAAAGTAAAAAGTTAATAAAAAAAGCAATCACTTACAACTAGGAGATCTTTCTTTAAGGTCTCTATAAATATCAGCATCATATTAAATGATAATAGAGCTTTCCAAGAAAACAGATATATTTGATATTGTACTTTCTATTACGGTAGCCACTAGCCATATGTGCTTATTAAATATTGAAATAAGGCCAGCTTAGAGTCACAATGAAAAACAGTATGGAGACTGCACAAAAAATTAAAAATAGAACTGCTATATATAAACCAGCAATTCCACTTCTGGAAATATAGCAAAGGAAACAAAATCATTAACTCAGAAAGATATCTGCATTCCCATGTTCACAGCAGCATTATTACAATAGCCAAGACATGGAAACAACCAAGGTGTCCATCAACAGATGAATGGATAAAGATGTCGTGGGTGCACATGCATACATATGTGCGCGTGCATGCGCGCGCGCACACACACACACACACACACACACACACACACACACACAGAGGAATATTATTCAGCCATAAAAAGGAAGGAAATCCTGCCATTTGCAACAACATGGATGGACCTGGAGGGAATTACGGTAATTGAAATAAGTCAGACAGAGAAAGGCAAATACTGTATGATCTCAATATGTGGAATCTAAAAACAAACAAATGCATAGCAAAAGATCAGATTTGTGGTTACCAGAGGTGGGAGAAAGGGGAACTGGAAGAAGGTGATGAAAAGGTATTTATAGGATAAATGAGTACCATAAGGATGTAATGTACAACATGATGACTATAGTTAACACTGCTGCAGGATATATATGAAAGTTGTTAAGAGAGTAAAATCCTAAGAGGAAAAAAAAAATCACAAGGAAAAATAATTTTTTCCCTCTTTTTTATTGTATCTATATGATGATGGGTGCTAATTAAACTTATTACAGTAATCGTTTCACAATATAAGTCAAATCATTATGCTGTACACCTTAAACCTACACAGTGATGTATGCCAGTTTTATACAGTTTTCAATAAACGGCTAGTTTGACCAAGAGGAATTTCTAATTTTATTCAATTTTAATTTGAAGAGCACATACGATTAGGGGCTACCTTATTAAAACTATGTGGCTCTGTGTTTTTCTCATTTTTTTTATTTTCTTTTTTTTATATTTATTTATTTTTGAGAAAGAGACAGAGCATGAGTGGGGGAGGGACAGAGAGAGAGGGAGACACAGAATCTGAAACAGGCTCCAGGCTCCGAGCTGTCAGCACAGAGCCAGACGCATGGATGGTGAGATCATGACCTGAGCCAAAGTGAGACGCTCAACTGACTGAGCCACCCAGATGCCCCTGTTTTTCTCATTATTTTAAAAACAAAAAAGACAGAAATGAAATCAAATTTTAAAAAGCTTTATTACTTTTTGAAATAAACCTTTTTTAATTTTAACTTATTAAAACAAAAAAGACTGCTTTATTTTGAGAGAGAAAAATATATCTGATGAAGAAAATTATCTGTGGGAAATTCAAGATAAAGTCCACTGTGGCTTCTAAAAAGACTTTTTTAAAAAACGTCATACTTGGAGCACCTGTGTGGCTCAGTCGGTTGAGCGTCTTACTCTTGGTTTCAGCTCAGGTCATAATCTCAAGGTTTTGTGGGTTTGAGCCCCGTGCTGCCAGCACAGAGCCTGCCTGGGATTCATTCTCTCTCTTTCTCTCTCTCTCTGCCCCTTCCCCACTTGCGCTGTTTCTGTCTCTCTCAAAATAAATAAAAAACTTAAAAAAAATAATAATTAAAATATAAAAACCCATACTGAACACATCTAATACTCAAAACAGCATTTGAGTGAACTAAATACAACAATCTCTATCTGGCCCATTCATGGAATAAAAATATTAGAAAATGACCAAGAGTTTTCCTATCACTTGTATACAGGAACAGCTGCAGAATGTTAGAAAATACAAACTCACCTGAGGGACTTGGAGCGGGTCTCTGTAATGGTGGTCTAAAACCTGGAGCTTTGGAAGTATCAGACTGATGTAAAGGATCTGAATTTGGCAAATATGAGGATTTTCCTGATAGCATAGATTCTGGCGTTGACTGAGATGAAACAACAGATCCTCCCCAGAAGGCATGAGCAGAAGTAGGGCTGTTTTCGAACAATGTGCTAAAGGGCCCAAATGGTAAGGGGGCACTGAAATTGGGAGCAATAGGCTTATTTGCTGGATGTACTGAATTTTGACAAGCACTTTGTGTACTTAAGGTTGAAGGTAGCTGGACAGAAGAGGGAACACTGTGAGGTCTTTTAATGTGATTGACACTTAGGACTGCAACAGATGAACTCTGCACTGGAGCTGGATTCTTGTGAGGGGCCGTTGTGCCATGAGAGGGTGGTCTAATAGCAGGGGTTTCCATTTTAGGAGCAGGCTGGGAGCATCCCATTTGTGTCTGAGGCATAGGGTAAGTCACTGGGGCAGTAGAAGGCACCGCCACTGGAGCAGAACTTGTTGTTGCTAAAGGAGGAACAGTCATTCTAACTTCCGGGGGAGGAACCTGAGACTGCTGAAGAGGTGGTCTTGGCTCCTGAGAAACAGATCCCGGAGGTTGTTGCTGAGTAGAATGAACTGATGAACTCCCAGAAGAACTGCTGCTGTTTGAAAGTCTACTGTTTGCTGTTTCTACTACTGGTGGACTACCTGCTTCCTGTTCAGAGGAAGATGCCCCTTTATTTGGAGATGCTGTTCCACAATCCAAAGGGCTGTTTCTAGAAACCCCTCCTGACTGGGCTGGTGGTGATGGGGAAGATGGGGATGATACTGGGTAGTGTTCTTTGGCAGTAGGCATAGGATATGTGGCATTTGTGGGTGCAGTGCTGTTGTTGCTTGCTGTGGTTGTGACTGTTGTGGTGGTGGCATTGGATGTCTTCACAACTGTGACAAAAAGCTGCCTTCTGACAGAAGGTGAACTTGGACTGCCATTTGTAGATGTACCAGGCACCGTTGAAGCTGATGAACTGGTTGTAGTTGTTGGACTTGAAGTTAAAGAACCTGCTGAATTCACCTGAGAACCACTGCTATTCTGATTGCTATGGCGAGGCACCATGTGAGGCTTAGGCGAGTTAGTAGCTCTGGCAGGGCTCAAAGGCCTGACAGGAAAAGGACCCCAAGTGGATTGAGCTGGTGGAAAAGTACCTCCAAAGTGGGTCATGGGCAACCTTGGTGGACGGATCTGCTGGAAAGTCTGAGCAGCAAGCAAAGCATGTGCAAACTGTGGAGGAGGATATGCTAATGGAAGAGAAACTGGAAAACCAGGCCTCACATTATTCACTGGGTTCTTAATGGTTTTATGAGTAGATGCAGAAGAAATTGCAGGCACCGTGAGTGCTGTGGCAGTTTGAGATGTTGATGACAGAGCTACAGTCGTCATTTTAATTCCCATTAAGGAACTGTTAGCAGCAGTGGTGGTAGGTGCTGATGACCCTATTTTGGAATTTGCTGAGGAGCTTTTCAAACGATTCTTTGGAATAAGTTCATCAATTTCTTTGTCTGGATCCTTGATCAGAGCATTGATCAACTGAGTTGCCTGTCTTGTTGATTCAGTGCCACCCCTGTAAATTGACCAAGAAGAAAAAGTTAGGTCCAATTTCCCCTCCTTTTTAATAGGTATAGCCTAAATTCATTTGTGTGAGTGTACACATACATACAGAGAACAAATAACAAAGGTTAGGCAGCAATTTTCTGACTATTCTTGAGGTATTCTGCAAACAGGGCAATAAACTGGCCTGGTATGCCACTATAGTTTTCAAAGGAATAGTAAACGACTTTTCAAAAATGCATTTTGCTATTGTTTCCTTAGACTAAGAAGTCATTTTCCCATCGTAAAATGCATTACAGTTAGAAAAACCACTGCACTTAAAAGCCTATGTAATCCATAACACTATAATTAAACAGCTGGCCAATGTTAAAAGCAATATAAGTAAACAAAGAACAACAACAAAAAAAACTGAGTAAAAAAATAGTGTTTTATTTTAAGTCCCGGTACCTAAGATGACCCCATCTATGACCCCCACCTCTGACTAAACTCTATTAGAATGATTCTCATACTTCCTCTGAAAAGATGTCTCAGAAGGAGAGAGGAATCCTGACAGGGCCAACAATGGGCATCAGATCAAACCCTAGTGTTAAATCTTCAGGAAAACATTTGATTGCAAGGAAAGCCTTATGGAAACCTTAAGGGGGAAATTACTCATAGAAGGTATCTGCTTCCCTCTTGTCTAGATAAAGCAGGTTGGGACTACCCACCTATCCCAGGAAAGGGAAAAACAAGATAGGAGAATAAATACAAAATAGAGATGGCTAATTGCCTCCCTTAAAGGTAGACTATATAACTATCAGCTCCTAAGGGGCACCTGCCTTTCATAACCAAACTTATCATTTCTTAGAATATCCTATCTTTATTTAAAGGGGATTAAGGTATAGACATCTTCAATGTAAGACAAATACCCATTTCAGAGTTAAATCTATTACTGACCTCATAGTCTAAGGATACAACCTCAGAATAATAAATCTCAAAAGTTAATTTAAGGGCAAAAGGGAAACCTACTGCTTAAAATGGGTAAGAAACCTATTCCTTCTTAAAAAGTCTCAGAATAAAATTTTAAGAATGTTGTAAGAACAGTTTATGTAAGGAAAAGATTATCTAAGCCTCTGTCACACACTCACAAAAGAAAAATTCTTTAGAGCCCTTTGAAATATTTCACGAGCATATGAATTAGAGAAAAAAACTGTAAAGGTTTTCTTCTCAAACACTAATCAAATTCCCATTTAAAAAAAGTATGCTATTAAACACAAAGTTCCAGTGAAAACTCAAATGCTTGTATGTCATTAAAGTATAATGCAGTAAAACACAAAGGGAGAAAACAAAAGAGACAAAGTTTTGCCTTATGGTTATTATCCGGTCTCCTGTCTTGTCTTTCTGCTTATCAATATCTATGTGTGCACCAGTGAACTCCCGAATGGCATTAATATTACAGCCTCCTCTTCCAATCACTCTGGATATCACAGTTGATGGAACAGATACTTTCTTTGACCTGTTTAAAAGTTGCAAAGGTAAATTAAGATATATCACTAATATCAGTGGTTATGATTAAAATATTGAGGAGAGAGGATTACTAAAATACATTTCTGTAAACACAGAATAGATTACTGTTGAGTTAGCCTCTTCTATCTATTCTTACTCTAGGTGATAAAAGACAACTAAGTGACAGGAGAGAGAAAAAATGAGAGAGGTCACGTAAGCAAGCGCTTTTATCATAGCTTCTCATCTCATTACCAAAGATGGTTTGTTTTTTGACTTTCATCATTTGTTAATATCTATAAAGTACATACTATGTAGACATGCACTGTGTTAGTGCAAATACTAATGGCAAATAAGACAGACATAGGTTCCTGCCCACATAGACTGACTATGTAGATACCAAGTAGGAAAAGAACATCATGCCATGAGTGCTCCAATAAGGTATCATGAAGATACACTGGTTGGGGCACCTAATCCAGCCTGAAGAAACAAGTAACGCTTCTTGTGGGCACTTCTGGGTGTTTGACTCACATTCTTTTTATTCTCTAGTATATAACTGAAAGGATGATATTAAAAATGCATTGTTACCTTGTATTATTTTAGAGGAATCAGAAGATGAGCCAACCATGCTTTATTGAAGAAGCAAATTATTTATTTAGAATGGTAGATTAGATATTAAATTAAAATGTTGTATTTTTTTTTTTTTAATTTTTTTTTTTCAACGTTTATTTATTTTTGGGACAGAGAGAGACAGAGCATGAACGGGGGAGGGGCAGAGAGAGAGGGAGACACAGAATCGGAAACAGGCTCCAGGCTCTGAGCCATCAGCCCAGAGCCCGACGCGGGGCTCGAACTCACGGAGCGCGAGATCGTGACCTGGCTGAAGTCGGACGCTTAACCGACTGCGCCACCCAGGCGCCCCAAAATGTTGTATTTTTTAAAAGGTAAGGTATGACCCCTGTACTTTTATATACATAAGTTACTTAATAATTCCTTTGAAGGGAATAATAATAAGTCAGTGATCATTACTTTCAAATTAGTTAAGAATTTCTTAGTATACCACAATATAAAATACATGGAGAAAAACTGAGTTACCATACTTTTGTATAGACAGTACTCTAATGTTGTGATTTTGGTTAGTACAAAAGAAGTGTGTGTATGTGAATGAGTGCGTGTGCGATGTGCACGAATGTGAGAGAGACAGAGATGAAGATAGAGATGGTGGTGTGGGGAGGCTTTGGTCAAAAATATGAAAAAAAAAACTATACAGTGCATTGTGGGATTAATAGGAATAAGTTTGGTTCATCACAGCTCTTAGTTCAAATACTCAAAACTGTAATTTTTTGTTGGAATTTGTGAGAAGTTCTTTAAAATAGGTTATTGGGGCGCCTGGGTGGCGCAGTCGGTTAAGCGTCCGACTTCAGCCAGGTCACGATCTCGCGGTCCGTGAGTTCGAGCCCCGCCTCAGGCTCTGGGCTGATGGCTCAGAGCCTGGAGCCTGTTTCCGATTCTGTGTCTCCCTCTCTCTCTGCCCCTCCCCCGTTCATGCTCTGTCTCTCTCTGTCCCAAAAAAAATAAATAAACGTTGAAAAAAAAAAAAAAATTAAAAAAAAAAAATAGGTTATCAAAGATTTACAATACATCCTCTGTGGGATCTTAGGACCTTTTAGTTTCTGGGATACTGTTTTACTTGTTTAATATACATAACATTAAAAATTTCAAGCAAACTATAAACAAATATTTTAGTCCTAAAATTCTTAAAATAAAGATATCCTGTGGTTTACAAACAACAATAGTTTAAAACCAATACTTATTCATTCTTCAAATACTTACAAGTATGTAAAAGATACCACATACTGGGCTCTGAGATTACCAAGTTGAGTACTCGAAACACAATTTATCACCTTAAAGTATTTACATTAGTTTTCTACCAGACAGCAAATACCTAGGGTCAAGCAGATACTGCAATTATGTAACTTTTTAAAGTAAAATCTCCTAATTTTAAAAGCATTTATATCCAATTGTTTTTCTCATCTACAGTACGGTATAGGCTATCTCTGTTGGCTAGATTCAGATTCAGCCTAGGGCCACCAGTTTTCTTTGCAACCTTTGGAATAGTTGGAGGAATCTAACTGTAAGGTAAACAACATCTCACATATAAAGAATGAGAAAAACAAGGAACAGTCACTCACCTTCTTACAACTTCCTTCCATCCTTCTTCCCTCTTTTGTCCACGCTTAGGACTTGCTACTGTTAACTTCCCATTTGGAGAGGAAAGGGGAGACGGACCAGATTTTGTGCAAGTAGACAGAGAATTACTGGTCACTTCATTGATAGTCTCTGACAATCTTTAACAGAGGGGAAAAATACATTAAATACAGAATATAGAGCTTTCAATAATAGAGGCAATCTATTACATAATTTTATTCTTTTATTTTGGAATAAGTATGGTAAACAAATGAAGAACTTATTTTTCACTTTTCAATACGTAGCATGATATGAACAGACAATTTTTAAGAAGATACTATCATGAGGTCAAAATTAGCAGAGATGAATTACAGTAATAACCCCTGAGAAACCATAGTCAATACTTTTCATGGGCTAAATTTAACAACTAAAATAAAGAAGTTACATAGTAAAAATAATTTTATCTTTCATTAACACAAAACTTAAAAAATAGCTTATTCTTCAATTAAAATGAAACTGTGACTTCTTTAGCACAAAGACAAACCCTTATTTTGCCAATTAATTTGCTTGCTTTACTAAAAATTTTCAGCAACAAAGCATTTCATGATGATACTATAAATAATAAAAGTGAAAATTGGGACTTACTTTATTGAAGCCTTTCCAGAAACAGATTTTCTCTCCTCTTTTGGAAATGTAACCAGAACTGATGGCTGCTTCTTGCTGGTCATCGTGGTAGTCACCACAGCAGGTGAATGATTGTCACTCTTTCGGCTGCTGTTGCTGTTACTACTTTCATCACTGCAGCTGGAAATCCTCATGTTATCACTGTCCCCACTCTCGCTGGTACTGCTGCTCTTGGACTCTCCATTTACCTTCTCTGGCTGACTATATGAGATTGGTAGTGGATCATCAAATATAATCTGAACATTTTCTGGAGTAATTTTATTTTTCCTGTTTTTCCTCTTTGAACTGGTTGTGGTTATGGTATTATTTCTTTTACCATGGGAACCTGCCAAAGTTGTCCAGGTTGCAGATATACCTATGGTAGTAGTGGTTGTGGCACTTGGAGGCTCTGTCAAGACTTCAGGCTCATCTGTAAAAGTAGTAATACCAAGTTAGACAGTTCTAAGTGATTCAAAATATATTTAGCTTTTTTTTTCTTTTTTTAAATGTTTATTTACTTTTGAGAGAGAGAACAGCACGAGCCAGGGAAGGGCAGAGAGGGAGACACAGAATCCAAAGCAGGATCCAGGCTCTGAGCTGTCAACACAGAGACTGATGCGGGGCTTGAACCCGCAAACCGTGAGACCATGATCTGAGCCAAAGTTGGACGCTTAACTGACTGACCCACCAAGGAGCCCCATAGAATATATTTAGCTTTAAGCACTTGAAGAACAATAAAATCAGGAGTTACTTTGCGACTATTAGATGACAATTAGATGTAAAGTCATCAATCATTCCAGCATTCGTTAGTAATGAAATAGATATGATTGATCTCCTCTCTGTGCTAAGTCCTAAACAATACATAGTAGGCAGTTATAAAAAATATTTAGGGGACAATTTGGGAAATGTGAATAATTACTGTATATCACATATTATATAATTATTAAATTTCTCAGGTATAATAATGTTATTGTGGTTATATAAAATAATGTTCTTTTTCTGGGAAATACATATTCAAGTATTTAGTGATGATTCTGCATGGGGTGCCCAGTTTACATGTAATCTATTCAAAAAGAAAGGAAAAAAAACAAATTGAACTAATGTGCCAAAAATATTATAAGAATCCAGGTGACATATAGGTGTTCATCATACTAATCCATAAACTTTTCTGTAGTTTGAAATTTTTCAAAATAAAAGGCTGGAGGAGAGAGAAATTACACACACACACACACACACACACACACACACACAACACACACAACACACACATACTACGTATATATTTGGTGGCTTACTGGCAGTGGTTTCTCCTCACAATATTTTCAATATCAAATAATCTTTTCGTTAGAATCCAGTTAAAATAACTCCCTCAGTTTGAGAAAATTCTAAATATGTTTAGGATTATCAATATTATGGAATTACACTTAATTTTGTAGGTATAATAAATGGTATTGTGATTATGTAAGCAAATGTCATCCCTAGGATAAGTGTTGAAGTTTTATAGGTACAATGTCAAGATGTTTGCAACTTAAATTCAGATAGCTTAGAAAAAATATACACATATGTTTAGAAAGAAAAAAAATAAAGCAAATATGGTAAAATGTTTATTTTTAATATCTAGGTAGAAGGTACTCAGGTGTTCATTTTATCATTCTTTCAATTTGTAGCTCTGAAATTCTTCACAATAAAAAGCTAGGGAGAAGTCAATAAATGAAAATAGCACACAATACTTAAGGGCTAATGACAGAAATCTACTTTTACCTTAAGTTATTGATATTTAAGGAAATATCATTTTGAATACAATGTATTACATAAATCAAATTAGATGGTAAGTTAGAGAAAATACCTTCAACTTTATGCTTTTCTTTTTCTTGAGCAGCTTGGAGTTCAAAGTTCTCTTTATTTTTGGCTTCGATTTCTTCTAGTTTTCTTCTTTGCTCTTCCTTTTTCTTTCGTCTCTTCTCCTTTCTCTTTTCTCTTTTGGCAGCCAAGGCCAGCCTCCGGCTTTCTTCTCTTAACTATTAAAGGATAAATAAAACAGATTTACTTTGTAAAAAAAGTTGTCACACAATGTCATTTTATCATAAGAGAACTAGAATACCATAAAATTCAAAGTCATCTAGTTCAATTTACTGTTTAATCAAGATTATAGTCGAATTGCTGTAAAGAGAAAATAATATTTTTAAATGTCAAGATCAAATTAATGATATAAGATAATCTAATTTTAAAATGGATAAATGACAGATACATAGCTTTCACAATCACTAAAAAATGTAAATTAAAATAATAAGTTACCATGTTTTATTCATTAATTTTGCAAAATTAAAAAAGGTATCATGGATCAACACAAGTTTGGGAAAATGAGTTCCTTCCTATACTGCTGTGGGTATAAATAGTTGTATTTTAGGAAAGGTAATTCAAAAGCCTCCTGTTAAAATTACAAACTGCTTATCCAAAGAATTTATTCTACAAAATAACCATAGTGAAAAAATAATTTCTATTGCAGAGCTGATTATAGTGGCAATAAATGGAAACAAGGTAAATCCATCAATGCCAAGAATGGGGGGAATAAATTAACAACAGTACACATTCACAAAATACTAGGCAGCCATTAATGGGGCAGCTGGGTGTCTCAGTCAGTTAAGTGTTTGACTCTTGATTTTGCCTCACGTCATGATCTCATGGTTCACGGGTTTAAGCCCCGCATTGGGCTCTATGCTATATCAGCACCAAGCCTGCTTGGGAATCTCTCTCCCCCTCTCTCGGCCCCTCCCCTGCTTGCACATTTTCTCAAAATAAAAAAAAACGTGAAAACAATTTTTTTAAGTGTTCTATACTTGGTAATATGCTCCCAAATTACACTGGTTAGAAGAAAAGAATGCACATGGCAGTCCAATGATCTCACTTACTGGGAAGGGAACCTGTTATGTGGCTCTGTTTGTAGAAATAGAGAAAAAGGCAAAGAGGATACAAATGAAAGCTAATGACTACTCTAAAGTGAGCCTGGAGGAGGGGTGGCAGAAAGATGGTGGCTTTCAATTTTATATAACTGTACCCTGTTTCTATTTGTGAAAGTGGGCACTTAATGGTGTTACTTTCATAGTCAAAACAATGAGTAAGAATAAAAGTATAACATCTCTTAATAAGTGACATTAACAATTAAATTTTCCTCTTTGATTCATAAAGTGAGAAAATCATCTTCAAACTGTTTTCTTTCCTTGTCCTCTAAAAGATGTTTTCAAACTGTGTACTCCCTGCCCATAATCTAGTGTTTTGTGTATTATGTGTACATTTAAATATATGTGTCAAAACAATGACACTCAATTTTTGGAAAATGTCACAATATGCTAACTAATGAAACCAGAGCTCAAATATAAGCCCAAAAGACAAATCATTTCATTTTTGTTAAATTTTTTAAGGTTTTTGCTTTTGCTGGACTTTACTGTCATTTCAAATTATGTCTGTTAGGTACCTGAAAGTTTCTGCCCACCTTGAAAGTTTTTACACCCTGGGGCAGTGCACCATAATTACATTCTCTCTGGTGAAGAGAAATCTTTTGCTCCTGAAAAGGGAAATAATTAAGGAGACTCTGTAGAACACTGCTACTTTCTCAGGTAGAGGGATTTCAGGAAAGAATACAAATGGAAGTTAAAGATACAAAAGTTGTCTGCATGGTAGCCCTAGAAAGTTTTGCTAGGCCTCCAGAAGCACACAAACTTCAGTCTGAAGACAAGTGAAAGAGGAGCTTTTGACCTTGCAGAAGGACTGGAAAGAAAAAATTGCTGACCTTCATTCCTTAGATCATTACATGGGAGGAGGAATAGTATCTGACTGGAGAGTTTGAAAGAAGGAAGTAAGCATGTGTGACTCTGCTCACTGAATCCTTGCTTTAATGGAGCTAGCTGCCGGCCCTTGGGAAAACGTGCATTCTCCCCGCTGAACTCTAATGAGGTGAGCCTGCCTAGCTGACTTTGTCAGATAAGCTTAAGTTAAAGAGGAAAAGGAGGAGTAGAAAGTGGCGTGAAGGATGTGCCAAAAAAACTTTTAAAGCAACCGTTTCCATAAATATGTATTAAGCCTCTTCTGCGCTCTCTCTCACTCTCAAAAATAAACATTAAAAAAAATTTAAAAAATATATTAAAACTCTCCAATTCAGAATTAGGAATAATAAAACATACTTTATCTGTGTCATGGCTGTATGTACAGAAAAGCCTTGACAAAGGCTTATGAGCGATCAAAATGACAAGCGAAACCCACTGGTTAAGCCAAGGATGGATTTTTGGTTTTGCTGGATTTTTTATTTGTCTAGTGGTAGGAGATCATTGTGACTGGTATCAAGGGGGAAAGAACTACCTTAAGAATAGAAAACTTTAGGGGCGCCTGAGTGGCTCAGTCGGTTAAGCGGCCGACTTCGGCTCAGGTCATGATCTCGCAGTCCGTGAGTTGGAACCCTGCGTCGGGCTCTGTGCTGACAGCTCAGAGCCTGGAGCCTGTTTCAGATTCTGTCTCTCTCTGACCCTCCCCTGTTCATGTTCTGTCTCTCCCTGTCTCAAAAATAAATAAAACGTTAAAAAAAAATTAAAAAAAAAAAGAATAGAGAGCTTTAAATCAGAAAGCAGTCATCTAAACCTATTTGGCCTAGATGTGGGTAGGGGTGATGGGCTGAGGTAGACTAGTTTGTAGGTGTAGCTGGGTCTTGGGTATGCAAGTGCCCTTAGGGCTTACAGAATTCAGTCAGTGGAGACTGGCCCTTTGACAACAGTATGTCTAGCCTTTGACAACAGTAAGTCTAGATTATCAGACTCACAGTAGAGTTCAGCCCTAAAGGCAAGGTATTTACTCGTTTCTACATCTTATAAAGTCTAAGTATTATCTAGTATTTTGATAATCTCATAGATTCTACTAACCCTTTCGACTCACTAAAAAGTGGGGCACAAATTCAGAGGTCCTAGGGAAACTCTTTCTGAAGGACAGATCTCAGACTATGGCTGTGAAAGAACCAATAAAGGCATGAAGCTCTAAAAAATTAAGCAGAATTAGGTAAGATACATACATATGTATTAAGAGGCATCATAAGTTTGCAGGAGGTATATGAAACTAGTGGATCACCAAAGGGAAAAAGTTATTAACTATATGAATATGTATTTGTGTGTATGTGTGTGTGTGTGTATGTGTGTGTGTATATATATATATATATATATATATATATATATATATGGCATATCCAATATTTAAAAGGAAGAGCAAATGAGACTTTAGGAAGGCATAATCAGGCAGAGGAAGACAATCAAGAGAAAAATGGCTTCAGTGAGAAGAGTTTTATGAAGGAAGGTAATCAACATTGGTAAGTATCACAAGTATCAATAAGAACTGAAAATAAGTAATAGGATTTGGCAGTTGAGATGCCACTGGTAACCCTGCTATAGTTAGTTCATTGCAGTAGTGAGGGAGTAGGTAAGTGGTTCTGAGGATTAAAAATTTTAAAAGTAGAGGGTGCCAGGGTGGCTCAGTTGGTTAGGCATCCGACCCCGGCTCAGGTCATGATCTTGCGGTTCGTGAGTTCGAGCCCTGCGTCGGTCTCTGTGCTGACAGCTCAGAGCCTGAAGCCTGCTTCGGATTCTATGTCTCCCTCTCTGTCTGCCCCACCCCAACTTGTGCTTTCTCTCTCTTTCTCAAATATAAGTAAACATTAAAAAAATTATTTAAAAAAATTTAAAAAGTAGAGTGAACAAGACATAGATCATTCTCTTAAAATATCTGGAAAACAAAATGCTAAATTTGAGGTAAAGTTTCATTATAATAATTACCTTAAGTTGCAGGCAGAGGGTAGGAGTTAAACAGTAGACACTAAAGATAAAAAAGTATGGGGGAGGTGGTAACAACTGATGCAAGGTCCCAAAGAGAACAGATGAAAACAGAATAAGCCATGAAGACTTAAGAAAGTCTGGAGGTACAGAAAACAGGGTTAGAAATTCAGCCTACATCCTCTATTTTCTCACAAGGTACAAACCTGCACCTCACTTCACTTACTGGGGAACTGCTGTATGTTTTTCAGTATATGTGGGGGAAGGGTAGAGGCTTTGAAGAAAAGAGTCAAGTTGTAGAATAAACTTATTGTGGAAAAGGAAAGGGCACTACTAACTGGTGATTTCTAATTGAGGTTTAGGAAACAAAGTGATATTTGAGAGTTAAGCTTTTTAAGGTAAAAATTTAAGAATTGAAGAAGAAGTAGTCCAGACTAAAGAGAAACCATCTGCAAATTTGGATATATGAAAGTGAACAAGTTATGTGAGCAGTAGAAAACCATAGCGAGTGATGAGCCTGGAGGAGTAAGCTAGGAGGACCCGAATGTTTGGATTTTCCCAAGCAGACAACTAAGACAGACGGAAAGTTTTTGAGAAGGGTGTAACGCAATTCCACCTATGTATTAGAAAACTATGGAAACTGTGGAAAAGTTACATTGGAAAGGAGAAAGACTAAAATGAAGGCAAAAGGTGACGGAGGCAAAACTATTTATTTATATAGGGAGACTATTAAGCCTACTGCGATACTTCAGGTATCAGGAGTGATAACTGAGAGGAAAGGAAGAAACAGAGACTGACAAAGCTTAGTTAAAGGTGATGATGATATGTAGAGGGTTTAAATGTGCCAGGTGCTGGATTAAGTTAATTTACTACATGAATTCATTTGATGGATGTAGTGAACGGGAAGCAAGGGTAAGTGAGCAGCTGAAAGTGATATCAAGATTTCACTACTGACTCATAGGTACTGACACCAATAACAGAAAAAGAGATCAAGGAGTATTCAAGGGAAGGGAAGGGAAGGATCCAAGGAAAATCTATTGATAATCTGCTATATACTAAGCATGGTTCTAATCTTTTAGGTCTAGTCAGTAAACCAGACAAAATATCCCTACCCTCATGAAGCTTATAAAACTAACATTTAGTTGGGGGGAGGCACATAGATGACAATATGTTAGTTTTCAAAAAGGTGTTAAGTACGATGTATAATACTGGAG